GATACAGCAATTGATAAATTACAAATAAAAAACACACACAACCAGCAGATGAACCATTCTCAGAAATAATACGCATTCAAGCTTTGGGTTAACTCCTTCTTCTTCTTCTTACCCTCCTTTCCCTCCCCGCTTGTCCGTCAGGTGGAGCTTCAGGGATGTCGGAGTCGTCTCACCTCCAGGAGTCGTCTGTTCACTACAACATTCCCGAGCTTCAGAGCGCCCCCGGCAGACCACCGCAGCCTCATTCACAACCCCACACAAACACCCATCCATTTCCACACCCGCTCTCACACCCTCACCCTCACCCACAGTCCAACGGGCAGCACTTCTCCGCACAGCATCACCGGGAGGCCTCAGGGACGAGGGAGGACATGTCTGGTCCAGATGACTCTGAAGAGGAGGAGGAGGAAGAGGAAGAGGAGGCTCCTGCTTTCAAGTGGCAAGGGATTGAATCTATATTTGAAGCATATCAGGAATATGTCGAAGGTGAGCAGCAGTGCAGAACATTTAGCAACTATACTGCTTAAAAGTGCTGTTTTTATTTAGCTTTGTCTGATTTGTGCCTGTTTTATTTTACCCTCATTCAGTTCATCTCAACTCAATTCAACTTAACACAAGACAACACCAAAGACAAAAGACAACACAATGCATAACATGAGAATCTATAAAAGCATGATTTATATCCACTACATATAAATGTGGCAGCTTCACGAGCATGACTTACAAGTGATATATTACAGGAGAGCATAAGTGAGTATAGCTATTTCTCTATTAGATGCTGCTCTTCCAGGTTCACGCCGGTGCTCTGTCAAATAGTGCTCCCTATCAAGATATGCTACTAAGCAGCGCTGTGCTATGGAGGGCAATAAACCAGGGCGTCTGTCACCAGCCGAGAGCATTATTTGATATTTCTGTATGATGATAGTAGAGAACCAAAACATGCTGAATTTATTCTCACAGTATACTTTCCTTTATATGAGCTCTATAAGATCCTACTGGGGGTATGACCGTATGTTTTCACACATGCAGCTCACCTGGGTCAAGTTTCCAAGAATTAGGTGTAAGTGTGAGAGCAGAAAATGTCTCTCTGCTAAGTGTGGTATATGGCAGCAGTCCCAGCTGAAGAGAGGATTGACTTGTGCAGTTACAGGCATTTCAGCATCGAGATCTCTCCACTACTACTCTTAAATAATCATTATACTCCAGCAGTATAATTGAAGCTCTTTGGCTTGATATCTTGTTTGTTTCATAACAGTCAAACATGTAATATATCCCAAGGTGTAGTCTGTTATTATAGAGATTGTGATTATAAAGCAGTAATGGACAGGCTGAACTCTTGTTGCGTTTTCTTGTCACTAGAGGGAGCTATTTTCTTCTACTTCTCATAACTCAGTCGTATGAAGAGAATGTGTGTTTGAGGTTTTACCAGAAGTTAATTCAAGATAAATGCACCAACATTTTTTAACCAGTATTCTAAAACAAACACCTTCACAGGTATATTTCATGACTCGTTAAAAAGCTTACCTATACATCTGAAGTAACTCTTTTTCTGAACAGGTTTGTGGTTGTAATCTTCTCCTGTAGTTTCGATGTTTGTATGACAGAGATTCTGCAAAGAGGCTCAGTTCGTTCCTGTCTGAGTCTAAACTCTCTTTTCTTTGTGGGTTTTTGTCCCGCAGAGCAAAGCTTGGAGCGTCAGGTGCTGCAGAGTCAGTGTCGAAGACTAGAAGCTCAGAACTACAACCTCAGTCTGACAGCTGAGCAGCTGTCTCACAGCATGGGGGTAAGATACACGTACAATGCTGCTGGGATTTTGTGTCTCAAACACTGTCCTCATCTTTTCTCACTTCCATTTCTTTTATGGTTCATAATAACATGCATATATAGACCAGGTTAGAAGAAAGAAAAGTATAAACTAGGATGTTTATCTCGCCCGCTTTGAATAAGAGGCACTATTTCTTTTTAACAAGATGTTGCATGTATTAAATCTAATGGGGTGCTCACACCAAGCGCAAGTAAAATCATCTACCTGTCTCCCCTTCTGTCTGGTCCTGTAGGAGTTAATGTCCCAGAGACAGAAGCTGGCAGCGGAGAGGGAGAAGCTACAAGCAGAGCTGGAGCACTTCAGGAAGTGTTTGACGCTGCCACAGACACACTGGCCCAGAGGCGGCCATTATAAGGGCTACCCTCCCAGGTGACCCCGACACGCCCACCGTACAGTCCCAAGGCCCCACCCAGTGCCCCTCTCAGACTGACACCAGAGTTTATTTTTCACAGCCCGGTCCACTTGGCTCCATGGGGAGAGAAGATGGCTAGCCAGATGAGATGAATGAGTGAATTAATGAATGAATGGAGTGAGTGGACAGATGGATGTTGCAGGACCATACAGTGAAGGACCGGCAGTCTTGTGGCCAGCCAGGGACTGCGCCACAAGCCACTTATGTGTGCCAATGTAGCCAACCCCGACATGAGTGAGAGTGTGGGGCAGGAGCACCTGAAGATCAACACAAACACACAAAGAAACACACACGCACCTGCTTCCCACAGCGTCTTCAGTCCCTGCTGCTCTGCTGTTCGCTCCCTGCATCCCTCACCGCCACAGCTACACAGACAATCCTGCCAATGAGGGAGCAGCTGCCCCACCAGGGCTGCCGTCAAAAGACTTGAATGCTCCAAAGGCTTCTGGCCAGTCGGGACTGATTTGATCGTGGTGGCCACATGAGCTTTTTGAACTGGAAATGCACTTATGAATAAAAGCTGAAGAACTACCTGGTGGTACTGTGTTACAACAAAGAACTGTTCAAAATTAGGGAAGAACTTAAAAAAAAATGCACATTTTTGGAAAGAATTAAGGAAATGTTTTATTTCGAAATAGAAAATTTGAGAATAAGAATTTTAAAAGGTGCTTCAGCCTTGTATTGTACATAATATGAAGACTTAAAAGAATTTTGTATGTTTTTATTACTTTAATCATTGTTCTTTTAAAAGAAAAAAAAGCCTGCCATTTTTATATGTTTATGCTTTTTTGGGTTGGAAAAGAAAGCCTTGCTTTTAGTGTTTGTACTGCTGCTGGCCAGAACAGCTCATTTTGAGACGTTTATCTGAGTGAGAGAGAAAACAGGATACACACTCTGCCTTGTACTCTCTCCTGACCCATCCACAGCCGCCCCCGTATGGCATCTGAGCTCAGCACAGATTACCCAGAGGTCCTGAGACACGGTGTCTGCCCTCTCACCCCCCCCCTCCATCACAGCAGCGTGTCTCTGTTTGAATGCTCATGCCACAGAAACACCAGGCTGGCATGAGAAGTTAGAGAAATCCACAGACACCAGCTGACATCCACAGTGACATGTTTTTTCTTTTTTTGTTTTTAATTGTTTTTTTTCTTTTTTACTTTGACATACTTGATTCTTTTGTAAAGACATGAAGAGTCTCTTAAGCAGCCAGCTGAAGAATCTGGTTTTTGATGCTTTATCCTTCCACTGGACCTGCCACTTCATTTTGTTTGACTTTTTTTTATTTTTAAAAACATTGGACTCAAACAATATGACGGTTTGCATAATGTTACGCCTTACAAGATCAAGCCCTTATCAGCAGCCATGAGAGGACACGGTGCCAAAATGGAAACTGTAGCATATTGGATTTTTAATTTGAAATAATGTTGCAAGAGAAACAGCCAAACATTCAAATTGCAGTAGCCATCTTCCAATACTGGACACCCACTATCTTTAATCATTATCCCCCTCTAGGATCATCACTCTCCAAAAAGTTGCCAACATGTTAGAAAGCAGACTCAAATGAGCGTTTCTCAGAGGTTCAAAAATCTGATTAATCTTCCTGAAACCTGTTTACAACCTCCTCCTGCTCTCACATACTTTCAGACATGCAGTTGGAGACCCTTAAAAAGCCACCCACGAGGTTTATAAATCATCGCCTAGCAGGAAAACTGGATAGTTGGTATTTGAGGTAAACTATAGGTGATAAACTCTGAAAATGTTCAGAAATGTATCTTTTAAATCACTGAAGCACAACTCCCCCCCTGCATACGGTTTGTCAATAAAGTGCCTCAAAGAATTGGGAGCATGTGGATGAGTTGAAGTCTACACGTTGTACTCTTAGCATCAGTGATCAGGGACATAACATTTTCAAGTGTCTGCTATAAGTCTCGCTCCTTTTTAAATTCGTGCATGTCGAGAAATCACACCGAGCTCCAAAAATTGAAAACCATCTCAGAAAATCCAGTTCTTCACAAGACCCCTTGTTGAGTAAATTTATCAGGTGGATCCAGAGTGTAGCCTGTCACTTCCACAGAGCAGAGGAGTGCAGTCTGTCAGTTCATGAGGGGGTCTGCATGCTGTCAGGAAGGTAAGCTGCCAACAACCTTAGGAGCACAGCGCACCCCCTCACCCAGCCGCCCTGTCTCTCTCCAGCCCACGCACGCCCATGCAATAGCCCCATCACTCAGTGGAGGATGTCTAGATGCTGTGAAATCCTGTTTTTAAAATGTACTTGTTTGAATTCATTGTAATGTAATATATTCTTTGTTGAATGTAGTAATTAGGTATTTATGAATATATGGCCGTGATTTCAGACAAAAAAGAAAATAAAATATTTCAAAAATGTTCATTATCAACCTTTGTTTCTTTGTGGGACTCTTGCTCAGTTGAAGGAAAAAACTAAACTTAACCTTTTTGGACCCTCCTGGCAGTTGGTCCTCATTGCATCATCAACTTTGTGCCAAACTCTAAAAATATCAAGCCCCTCACTGATTGTAGTGAAAGTTACCACATGCAGTAGGAGTGTGGGAGTTCTTCCAGGTCAAAGATTTAAAGAAAAGGTTTTCTGTTGGCGCTGGCGGCTGAGATCCAGCTCTGCGCTACTCTTTTGGAAGGGTCAAATACAGGCCAAATACCCCTGAAGGGCTTCGGTTTTACAAAGTACATCACTGTTCAGGAAAAGAAGAGGAGCAGATCTGTTTTCTTACCTACATATATGACCACTTTTGTTTTTGAGAGTATATTTGCATATATAGTATATCTGCATGTTTTGGATGTTTCCCTGCTCCAACACACCTGATTCAAATGATCAGCTCGTTATCAAGCTCTGGAATGGCTTAATAACGAGCTGATCATTTGAATCAGGTGTGCTCGAGGACTGGACTTGAGAACCACTGCTTTAATGAAACTCATTACAAAAAGTCAAATCCTTAAGTTGTTTGATTTTTCAGATGGTGTCAAAAAATTACTTAAAAAAATTCAGTTTAAGCTTCTTTCATTCAGCTAAAAGCTATAGAACAATACAAAAGGTCTGCTGTAGTAACAATAAATCTGCATCCTGGTACAGAGAGGTTTTGCTGTGCTTGGCTGACACTTTTTTTTTTTTGCAGGCAAACTTCAAACATCATCACATTTATTTTGCAATCACAAAAACTGAACAGCTTTAAATACAAATATTCAAATGGCAGAAAACCACTAAGTCTAGCTGAAAACAATACAAGTGTCCCTAATATAAAATGTCTTCTCAGAAAGGCAGAGTAAAACTGACTGTGACACCAATGCTGTGGTTTTTTATTTCTGCTCACAGTCTTTGAGAGTCCTGTGAGTCAGTGCTCATCTCAGTTCCAGGGCTTTAACCCCAGTCTTGGTAAATATCCACACCTGTTGATGCGGCTCTGTGTTTGTGTCTCAGTAGTCAGTGAGCTGTCCTTTACTTGAGCCAGGCTGCAGATTGGAGCGTAGTTTGTACATGCAGTTGAGAGAGTCAAGAAGAAATGACCGGATGGTGTTGATTTCCATCAGAGTGAGGTTGTCCAGCTGCAGAATAAAGAGGCAAAGTGGGAGAGAAGACACGCTCAGTTTTAGTGAGACTGTGGAGAATCAGTCAAGCTGCTGCAAGGTTCAATTTTACCTGATAAATGTTCAGAGTTTTTTATATAATTTAAGGAGAAGTCCTTTAGACATTGAAAATATTTAAAGTACTTCTTTTGTCTTTGCATTTCTTTTATCAATTCATTTTCAATCTCAATTTTAATGACAGAAGAAATGTAGAAAATGAAGCATTTACATTTTCAACATTAATGTATGGATTTTTTATTCTTGGTCCATCACTCCATACATTTCTGAATTAAGTGGTTAATCTCTGAGTCCACAGGACATTTAACTTACCCACAGCACACACTACAACCCACTGAGTAATAGACGGCTATTAGACGTATATTTTTTTATTTTTTTTTAAAACCTAATTTCAACCGTCTAGATTCCGTATATTTTTAGACGGAATTTAGACGTTGCTCTTTAATCCATTATTTCAAGAACTTTTCACTTCAAAAAGCAACTGTGAGCGGCATAACTGATCTCCAAGTACTTAACAAGAATATTTATGATAGCTGTTGAGCAAAATACAGTGTAGTATAGATATAGTCGAGATTTAGAGTTGGTCTAAACTTGGTCTACATTTAGACGACTAAAAAAACGTTCCTTCTTAGACCTGTGGTAGTCTGATTTTAGACCAGTCATCTAGGCAACATTTAGACGTCTATTAGACCTCTTTTAGACCAAAAACGCTCAGTGGGAATGAGGTAGTGGAAAGTGATTAATTGGGATGTCTGGCTATCATTCTCACCTTGGCGTGAGCCTCCATCTGACTGATGAAGCTGTCGGCGGAGAGGCGGAGTTTGGCGATACGAGTGTCCCAGATGTCTTTGACCAGCGTGCGGATCTCATCTGCTTTTGGGATGTTATCAGAAGCACTGCAGCGACGGACAGACCACAGTGTAAGGTGAAGAAGACACACACAGAGGCTGATGGAGTATTTTCACAAACAAAATTAACTTAATATGAAATGAAACAGACATTTACAGGTGCAGCTCAAAAAAATCGATCGTCCCAAACCATTTCATTTTCCCCATAATTTAATTAGTTGTTAAAATATATATATTCAAGATTCATCACACAAAAAAGTGAAAATATTTCACAACACCATGTTTCTATCTGCTGAGAAGACTTATCGAGATCCAGATTTCTCCGAAACTACCAGAAACTTTTTTTTTTGCTGATCGTGGTTTCACTGTGATTGATATGCCGGCCAACTAGCCTGACCTGAACCCCAAAGAGAATCTTGGGGTATCATCAAGAGAATGATGACAGACACCAGAGCCAACAAGCCATGTGAGTTGAAGGAGTTATCAAAACAACCTGGACTTTGATGACACCCCAGCATAGAACTAGACTGACTGTCATATTGTTATGGGGAAAAAATGAACTTTTTGGGACATAATACTTTGAGCTGAACCTGCATGAGACTTACTAGTTTAGTAGTAATTTGGTCAACTCCATGTAGTAAGGACTGGGAACAGGTGTAAAGGCATCCTCTCTCCTCTCAAGATCTCGCATCTCCTCCAGTTTATCTGCACAAACAGATATGAGATATGAACACTTTTAATGTCCTCATTGGAAAACACAAGAATTACAGATTTTCCCAGATGTTTAAAGACATTTAATAATAATAAAAACTGGTGTGATCTTTCAAAACATTACCATCAAATGTGCATGCATGTTTTTTTGGCTTCATGAGGGTCTATTACATATTCAAATGCATGTAAGTGTGTGAAAATATGTAAAAGAAAATCTGTGCACAGACACAGGTAGGCAGTGAAGGAAATGTTTGTTCAGCTGATCAGATCAATGCTGTGAAAGGGATTATTCTGTATCCTGCCCCCATCCTAGTCAGGCCAGAGGACCTCGTCCACATCAGCTGCAATGTTCTCTCTGTCCAAGCAGCGAGGAAAAACAACTGGAAGGTTGATTCGTACCTGCCTCTTATCTGCATGGATACCAACATAAGCTGTCTACATCACCTGGAGTGGTGACACATGCTTGTAGCATCTGTGTTTGTCACTCAAGGCCTCTTTGGTACTCTCGCTCAAGATTTAAGTGTTCATTCCTATTAAGTGTGAAGAAGTGCAACATCCAGGTGGGCTCAAGGATGCATTTTGTGTTCAGAGATTTGCAGAGCTGTGATTCAGAGTGACACTCGAGAAAGACCTGTGGGTTTGTACTTCAAGTGTAGCTGTTTGGAGTTGTGTTTGTAATATATGAGCTATGGGTTTCCACAATTTTGAAGGTTGTTTATGTCTTACCAACATCCATCCACTCCGGGGGAACAATTCTACATTTCTGCCTCTGTTTCAGGTTCAGGGCCAGCCACACGGGGACATCCACCTGTAGACCAGGGTTGAAGGGACCCAGATCTCCCTGAGGACGAAGAGACACCCGAGTTTAATCCCTCAAAACATTACAGTATTAAGGTACCCCAATAAAAATCAACCGTTTACCTGCATGGTAAGTCCAGTTTGGCTCATACCGGGGTGAAATGCTGTGTGCGTTTGGCGTTGTTATTACGGTTGAAACAAAAAGATATGAGCGAAGGTCACTTACCCCGATTAAGTATATCTTGTCCAGGCTGAAGTTTGGGATTATCTTCACTATTTCTTTCTCTGCGAGGAACTCCACCTCTGAAGGGTCCATCTCTGACTGTGTAGTTAACTTGTTTTGTTTCCAGACTTCAAACACACATCCACACCGTCTGCTTGTTGTTCCCGCGCTACAGGCTGCGGCGTCAGACAAAACGTCATCAACCGGAAGTGTAATCCAGTTTACTTTTTTTACATTTCTACAAAAACACTAATTTAGCAACATTTGCAATGAATTTCTGAACTCTCTTTTCGATTTGATAAATCGAAGGTTTCATTAAGTCTTATGAATCTTTACTTTTTCCACTCCGTCCGCGCCGGAAGTAGGAAGTAGTTTATATGAGAGAAATAGCAATGGTAGCTAGGCTCCACTAGATGGCAGCATTAGCCAAGTGATAGTGATTTTCTCAATTTCTTTACGCTCATAATTATGTTTAATTGGAGTCACTTGAACATGTTCTGCATTTATTCCCTACATGTTGTTCTTTTCCCTTCGGTACACCTTGTTTTAAGTGAGCAGCAACTACTGTTGATGATACCAAACAAGTATGAAAACAAGCAGATTTTTTTTGCCTTTTTGAATTTATTTTAAGAAAAAAACATATTTCAACACATTTTTTGTTGTCAGGTTAGTTATTTAAGCGCTTAAAAGCTGTAAACACTGTGTCTAATTAAAGCGAGAAGGACACATATATTAAAACAAAGAATCAACGTTATTTTTTATAAATGGGCTAATCATTTCAGACTCGTCTTCTTTACTCCTACAGTATAACAACAGTGAGTCAGCTGTCATTGTCACAGGGAAAAACTTTTTTTTAATGTAGAATAATTGTTTTCGTAAAAACCATTAGAATTTTAGATCTATGCTCATATTTGTGAATATGACTTTCTGCATAGAGGCAGGTTCTGTATCACTTAGGCCACCATCTGCCATTTTCCTGCAGACAGCAAATAACAAAGACATTTTTCTGTCTAGTGAGTTGCTGCTCATATTTTACAAGTTGAAAGACAAGGAAGAAGTGAGCGGTGTGTGTGATCTACAGAATTGAAGTTAAAAGATTTTTTTAATGGGAAAAAAAAGCATCACAGACGCAACTTGCACCCACCACTCTTAGTAAGTCATTAAGGCTTAACTGACAGGAGGGGTGAACAAGGAAATGAATCAGTCTGAAATCTGACCACTTGATATCATTAAATATTCACACGGTACCTTTAAAATGAACAGGATACAGGCTGCATTGCCGCCTGTTTATTCATGCTGTTCCCTATAAGGTATTTGCCCACCTGCAACAAAATGCTTGTCATCTGACTGGTTATCAGTGTTGTTTGGTGGATTCCAGACAGTGATGAAAATTAGATACTGAAAATGAGATTTAATGAAAATTAGATACTCTTGGGAGAGGTTGTCACTGTTATGCTCTTTTTAAAGTGAATCAGGAATAAAACAATGTTGTGTGACAGAAAGTCCATAGTAATGTCTTACTTCTTTCTAAGACTGTTTTAAGGTGTCTACTCATATGTGATTGATATACAGTATAAAATCTATTTATGACAGTCATGTACTCTAACAACTACTGTTGCCGTCATGGGGCTTCAATGGGTCAAAGTTAAAAATGCTCATTACTACAGTTTATTAAGTAGAGTTTCCTAGAGAAAACTTGAAGTTGGCAGTTTGCTGAACAACATGGCATTTAAGAAAAAGAAAAATGTTGGAATGCATATTCAGTGCATTTACAAACTTGAGCTGTCAAACCAAAGTAATTCAGTTGAAAAAATGACTGAATCTTTTGGTGCATCTCTTTTTTTAAGGAGTGAAGATAAAGTAAAGTAAGATGTAATTTCTTGCAAACAGAGAACATTAGTCCACGTTTCATTCTCCCCTAAAAGAATAATTAATATAGCTGGTTGACAAAATTAACTTACAGTGTAGCAAAAACATTTTATAACTGAGTTCTGTCACTTCAAATGTAAGAATCATCTTTATATTATAAAAAATGTACTATATGCTATATGTAAGTTTTAGACAGTTTAATAAAAACAAGACATCTGATGTGAACACCATCGGCTCAAACTGTTGGATATTTGTCACTATGCATAAATCTATAATGTCTTGTTACCTATATGATAATTTGTGATTGATTTATTTGTAATGATTATTTCCTGTTGATGGTGAGTAACAGCAAGAACTGGCAGAGGCTGAAAATAACTTTTTGACCTAGTTTTTAAAATGAGGTCTGAATGATAGAAGAGCATGTTAGTGAAGCAGTTAAGTCCTCAGGATGTTTAAAAAAACAGCAAATAGACAATATCTTAGCCATGAAGGATTTACATTTGAGAAACAAAACATGGCAAGAAAAGCTGGAGAGAAATGGGAAAACTGAAAGGGCAGGGTGTTTGCGGTTGTTGTAACTCAGCTGCTGTTCAAATGTCTTAAATGAACAGTCCACAAAAAAACTGAACCAGAAGACTGATTCAGAGAGCTGCTGCTCAAGTCCTCACAAAGACCAAGACAGCGGACCACATCAGGTTCACTCTGATATCTTTATAATTGGCCTCCCATTTGTCAGGAAACAGATTTTAAAATACTGCTCTAAATGCTCTGTGATGCTCTAAATGGTTAGGGCTAAAATACAGAGATCTCATACTGCTCAGGTGAAGGTCTGCTTTCTGTCAAGTTTTCTGCATTTCTGTCTCCACTATACTATCCACACAGTGTTTTTTATTTTCATGCAGATCAACCGAAAAATTCACTTTTATATTTTGATTATACTTTTCTGATTGTTGTGGCAAGTTTTCAGTGATCCTGATATGTTTAACTTGCACTGTGTCATGGCCATTAAATTACCACTTTTCTTTACAATGTATTAGTGTAAAAACATCCAGCAAAATAATGTAATTAAATAATGAGTCACACACAGACTTGGATATTTTAGAAAGATGGTTTCATTGTACATTCAGTTCATAAAATTTCAGTAAAAAATGTGGTGCCACACAATAAGTAATTAGCTCTTGCTGATTAAACTCTAATCTCAAGTACAAAGGTAGTTTTGTATCTTCACATTAAGTAATTCAATGTTTTACATCATTTATTAAATAGTACATTTTAGAGAGGTCATTTATGTATAAATAAATACATTTCACTAATTTCTAAAACAAAATCCACACACCTGCACTCTGATTCATTTTCTTATTCTTCTGAACAAGTCTCCCAAACAAACGATCAAAAGTAAATGTTACCACAGATGACACCCTGAGGTGCACCAGCAACACTAACATTGAAAGACGAGCATCATGGACATGTTTGTGTAAGCATGAGGCCTCGAAGTTGAAGCTCTCGAGTCAATCATTATGTTGTCATTGCTGGTGCGTCTTCAGAAGTATTGAGGATGACGTGTGATACAGTCTGATGGGATAAAACCACAGAGATTCCCATCTCATCCTCATTATCTTAGGAGTGTTTTCAGACTAACCTAACATATCTCTTCAGACCACAGTTCCACATGTGAATTTTGTTTTGTTGTAAACTAGAACTTTTATTACGAACATGTTTTATATTATATCTCAGTCGTACAATCATCACCTAAATCTTTTAGTAATTTAGAGCTTGATCTCTGTATGGCTAATGGCTATAAAATTTAAGAGGAAAAATAGATCAAATACTCTAGAATCAAACTTTATGCACAAAACTATGAATAAACACAAACCATTGCAGAAAAAAAAAAAAAACATTGAAGTTGCATTCATAAACATAACAGCCTCTTATCACCTCAACTTCACCTTGTAAAGGTGGACACATGCCAACAGTGCACGTATGGCGGTTAATTGCCCTTGAGAGATTTTGGCCTTATAGGTCAATGCTCCACAAGTCTCCATCAGTACAAGGAGCCTTTTAACGGAACAAAGACTATGAGTTCAGCATTTCTGTACTCCTCTGCTACACGATAAGTAGCATCATGCATGCTGAGATGGCAGCAATATTTGAGTGTATGTCTAAGGTAAACCTATTTGAAGGCTTTAGCACAGGTCCAGGACGGATTTGTTGATCACAGGGTTGGTCCAGTCATTTCTCAGATCATCCAAGTGATTGTCAAAGTCAATCAAGTTCTCGTAGGACCTGCCCTCCAGCAGAGAAGATGTGATCTTTTGTGCTTCACTCCAGTCCTCGAAACATTCACTGGGACAAACAAACAGACTGTCAACTCACATGGAAAACATTTTTGACATGATTGATGCCTTTTTTTTTTTTCCCAACGCATTGAATAAGTGAGTAAATGAGGAACATGTGGGTCACTTACACAGTAACTTCTCTGCACTTCCACTTGTTTTCATGATGATCATAGATAAAGACGATGGGTTCAAAACAGCTCATTGTCAATCTGCCGCTGTCCACCTGAAGGAAGAAAAAAAGAATAATGATGAAAGTTATGTTCTAACTCTTTAAACTTTATAATCTTGGTAAGAATCAATTTTATTCTGACAGACCTGTCTTGAATTGTTTGAAAACGGTAGATAAGTTTTGGGATAAAAAGAAGTTATTATTCTGTAAACTTTAAAACCTGGAGACAGTGAGGCTATACTGTGCTTAAAGCTTTTTATTTAGTCTCAAATTATTTTACTGAACAGCTGCTCTTCTAAGTGTGAACAAATATGAAGATAAATGCAGAATGTTAGTTAGCAGTTTAGTATTCATACAGCGTTGGGTTAACTTCAAGGATGCTGGAGTGATGGTGAACTCAAAGAGTGGCTGATGGTAAGTACTTCAGCAGCGTGTGCTGTTCCTTAGACTGACTGATCGAAATCCCTCACTGCACAATAAAAACCTCTGCATTGAGTTTATACTTTGAATAGCCAACCTATTTCTACGAAGTCAGCATAAGCCAATTTCCCCAGACATATTTATGACTCTGACAGGCAACAGTAGCTCTGCTGACATAAGCTTAGCTCTGAGCTTACTGGTTATATCAGCAAGGATAAAGCTTTGAAATTACTTTTCTGTCAGCACAAAGGTTACAAACAACTATGCAATCAATACACATGACAGACGGATGAGAGAGACTTCTGCATATCTTCACTTTTATCTCTCAGTAGCACTACCGTATACATAAAATCAAAATATCTATACTTTTACAGTCATAAATATGCTTTTATTAAATATCATGTGCATCATGCAGGTGAGCCATTGATGGTGTGACTGTCCAAGAGTGGTCTCCTACTCTACAGGGGCCCTTTGACTGGTGGCCCACTTTCCAAATCCACATATATTAGAGTGGTGTTGGACACATGCTGCTGACCCTTCAGTGGCACACCATCAGCCACTTTGTGATGTAAGCAAATCTGGGAAAATGTAAACAACCATTTCACTCCATCTGCACCAGCCTTCGCCTCGACGCTCTACTGTTACCATAACAATTGCTGCTTCACTGAAGTTCTCAGAAATCCTGGCAGCAACTTTTTCAGCAAATTGGTTGGGTCTGGAAAAGAAAAATAAAGGATATCAAATGTAGTTCGTGAGTCCAGAAGAGTAAGAGATGCGATTAACAATATTTATTCCTCTAAAGACATAGTGTTGTGTTTTTTGTGTGATTCTTTTTACCTTGAATCCTTTGTGCGTTCGTTGGCTTGATAATATGCAGCAATGATGTAGTTATTTTCTTTACACCAAGTATCGATCTGGAATTGAAACAGGAGGACAGCATATGAGGACAGAAAAACAGCACAGCAAATGTCAGGCCAACTTACTCTGACATGACGTTATAAATTGATGAAAATGACAAGAGGGCAGAAACAAGATTTCAGGATATATAACAAAGGTAAATGTTGTTCTTGCAAGAGTGGAGCACAACCACTTTCAGAGACTTCAATCCTCACTTTCTTAGTCTGATTATGTCTTTGTCGTCATTTCTGAATATGGTCAACAGACAATAGACACCTGCATTTGGTCTCATCCTATTCAATTTGTTCCTTCAGACCTTGTATAGTTTCAGTATCACAGTGACCTTGCCTCCTCCTTATCCTCTCAGTGAACACACACTCCTTAAGAGTTACAATCTCTGAGCACAACTTGTCCATCAGTTGAGTCAACAGGCATAGCTAAAACACCTGCTTTTATTACCTAAGAAATCAGCCATGAGAAATCCTTCATTTCCTCTGCATTACTCCCACCTGGATAATCTTAACTGCACCTACACATGACCAGCTGTGTCAACCAGTCTATCTTATGCACCCTTTGTATGTGGTTTAAATGTGTTTATTGGTTGAGTCTTGTCAAAGGAGATCTTCTGTAAAGATGGACATTAAAGTTTATTTATCCAGCAGCAGCACAACCAGTAGACTACATGATTATTATTACATGTTATAATTCATCTACAAATGGCTCAACTTGTATCTTCCATGGCTCCTTATTTCAAATAAGGCAATATGAATTGTACACAGTGGTTACTGAATAACACTCACCAATGTTAAAGCCACTTCCAGCATTGGAGCAAGAGCGAGAGTACCGTGAAACAGGGGCACACAGTCCACGCATAAGACTGGATCAGCGTGACTGTCTTTCTTCTTCTCCTTCGTCTTTTCCGCCACCAGGAGCCCGTTCACGGCGCAGTGTGGATACTTGGCAGCATGTAAAAGCATTTTACAGTAAGCCTGACTGGTCAACTGAATAGGCATGGTCGTGAGAGAGTGGGCAAAGTGAGTGTGGAGACCGATCAGCAGGAGTGGAGAGGCGACACGGTGAGAGGAGACTGCTGCTGCTGTTAGCTTCCTTCACATGAAGAGCCCAGAAAAAAGTAGATTTCTACCTTAGCAGGCACCTTACTGCCACGATATGTAGTTCCCTCTATACCTCCTAACGCGTTCATGTAAGCTTTACGAACAACAAAACCCCGAACAGTCTTCTTCTGCTGTATGAAGTCCTCACAGCCACACAGGCTAATCTCGCCTCCACCTTCCACTCGGGTTTTTTCTCAGCACCGGTGGTGCCGTAAAGAAGAAAGGAAATGCCGTAAAAACAGGGCAAGTCGATTTTTTTCAAAATATCTTTATTGAAAATATTTTAGGTAAGAACAAACGATATACCAAGTAAAACACAGGTGTCAAACTCAAGGCCAAATCTGGCCCATGGAACAATTATATCTGGCCCACAAGATTATATCATATTTGTATTATTATTGGCCCACCAGTATGAAGTCTGCAGATTTCCTCCAGCATAATAATGTAAACTTTAGCACCATTATTTAAAATGTCCTTAATTAGCCACGAAAATCTGGGAAATTAAAGAGTAAGGAAGATTTGATAAATAGTCAAGAATGTGGTGGAAAAAATATTCTGTGCTTTATTTCATGTTTTCAACTTTGCATTTCAAGATTACACGATAGAGGGAAGGAGAGATAGAATGGGTAAGGGAGAACGAGGGTGAGAGAGAGACAAGGGACAGCAGCAACATTAAAACAACTGCAACAACAACAACAGCTCATGGAATGGTGAAACAAAATGAATTCAGCTTACAGGGTTAGAATATGTGTAAATAAGGACCATGTTAAATTAATTTAATGTGGTTACAGTCAGCAGGCCTTATAGTGGTTAACTCTAGTTTTATGTTATCAATGTCAGTGAGGCTGATGTTTATGTCTGCAGTAACAATCCAGAGGAACCCAAGAGAAGAAGGAGCTCAGGGCCTGAGGCGGATGTTTTTTTTTTACCAGAATATTTCCAACCATTTGTTAATCGCAAATGATTTATCTGAAATTTTATTAGATTCCTTAAATTCTCCTGATTTCTTTTTACATATAAATCTTATTATTGGATTTTTAGTCACGTGTAACAATACTTCTCCCTGGCCTTGTATAGGCCAATGGCCGGTGTTATGCCACAGAATGCACTCCTGGCGGTAGCGCGGTTGAAAGTACATAACAAAGCTAAATAATCCAAGTTTCCTTTACCGTTGGATGGATTCAAAAGCGTGATAATACGAAAAACAAAAAAGCCCTCTGATTCTGAATATTTGCTGTCCTGAAAATATAATGTTCTCTACCTTGACAGCTTACTGTACAGTTTACATGCCCAAGTACACTTCCGTATGTTCATTTTTGAAACACACAAGAGCAGAACGAAAGTTTGCTGCTCCATTTGGCATGTTGTTGTGATCAAATACTCGTGTTTTTTTTTAATATGAGATCATTTTCTTCGACTTTGAGAAGCTTATGGGCGGATGGGATGCAGGGGGTGCCTCTACGGTAGGGGTGCAATTCACGGCACAACACAACACCGGTAGCGTTTCTCTCCTGCATTCTCTGCATTGAATATTTGGTCAGCTGATTCACCTGACCTAACCCCGACGTCACTTGGTGACGTATTTCCGCTCAGACTCGGACTTCCTTTAAGACTTCGGCAGACAAGAGCGAGGAAAAGATAGCAGGTAGTGTCTGAACCGCATCTAACAACGTTATTTAAAACGCTTTTATTCTTGAACTTTGTTCGAGTATAACATGATTAAAGTTAGATTTGTGAATAACAACTGAGATACGCGGCGTTTTTACCCTCTGTACCAGGCGTTTCTGAGTGACTTTGTCGGGGCTAGGACGGGCTAAATCACCGGCTAGCTTCCGTTAGCATTTAGCGTCTGATTTGTGGTGGGAGATTTGATATGCGGGCACTACAGAACGATAATGCACAAAGATCGCTATAAAATACAGTATCTTTCTTCAAGAATATTTGGATATTTCCAGTTCCATCTTCGTGGAATTGGTTATAATGTTCCAATATAATCCCGGGCGCTTTGACCTTGTGTTGCTGCTAAAGCTAGCTTACGTTTAGCATCACAGTGCAGCTCAGGTGCGGGGTTGGGCACGAATAGCAACAAGTTTAACTACATATCAATAATTATGTTTTACAGCGCTAATTATGTTGATGGACTGAGTCAGCGGCAGGCATGATAATGGTGTGTTAAACTTGTACAGTTTGTCGTATGTGTTATCTTATTGACCAGCGACCATGAAGCTGGTCTGTCGTAATATCTCCAATTAATCGTATTTGAATCGAATCTTGAATTAGTCCTTTAACCAGTTTTCTTTTCGGGGGGACGTTGAAAATTAATCAATTTCTAACGAAATGTAAAGGGATATATAAATATATGTTACTTATGTCTCCTTTATGACCTTTTCAACAGAATGTTGGCCACCAGAGCCCTTCGCCTTGTTGGCAAACGTGCCATTTCAACATCTGTCTGTGTACGTGGGGGGCATGGTAAGTGTAACCCTATATGACTTGTAGTGTTATCTATTTTTAGCAGCAGGAATTAACATTCAGCTATGTGGATGATAAACTAAGTGCCTTTACGCTTGTGACCGGGATGCTGTATACATCAGAGGGGAGGAAAGTTTTCACAGTGACCTTGTGGGACCCAAGTGATGTGTTGACCCATGTGAAGATGTGGGGCTAGAACCACTCGGCAATGTTTTCTAAAGATCTTTAGAAACATAAGTGTCACTTGCTTTCCTTCACAAACATCTTACTATTTTGTGACACAAGCATAGCTGTCAGATCAGCCTGACACTTTAGCAAAGCAGGGTCAAAGAACAGCTGTTGTGTGAACACTTCTTACACCTACTGAAGCACAACATGCGTGATTATTTGTATGATCAGAACTTGTTGCCTCAATTTTATACAAGCCGAGTGTTTTAGATAGACTGTCTTTTTTCAAATATGAAACCATCAAAAGCTTGTTTATCTTGTTGTGCACATATTTAGCAGTGGTTAAAAAATGCAGCATTGTACTATTCTTTACAAACAATGAAACACCACACAAGTCAATTCATGGGTCAACTTATCAAAATCAACGAAATCAGAGACAACTTTTATGTGTTGTTTTGGGGATTTCATCAGACAATGAAATGGGCTCTACTTACTTCCACAGCTGTCTATTGACAAAGGGACTTCTCAAGGTGTAGCATACACCGGAGCAAGTTTTTGCACAACTTAAGCAGATATTGTTTCACATAGCTATTAAAAGATTTTAAGCCATGTATCCTTGTGGATACACATTGTTTTATCTGTGAGTGTTCAAAATCATCGCCTTTCTGAAAAGTTTAAAGTTGAAGTCCAACATTGAGGAACAAACTAAGAATTTCAGAGAAAAGTGATATTGAGATGTTAGCAAGTATCAACATTAAATTAACATATGATTTGTTTCTTTCAGGTGTTGCCAAGGTAGAACAGTACACCCTCCCCGCCTACTTTGACAGGCGGGAGAACCCACTGCCTGATATCTGTTATGTACAGAGCTTGAGTCCGGAGCAACAGTCCCTCAAGGAGAAGGAGAAGGGCTCCTGGGCTGCTCTCTCCAATGAGGAGAAGATTGCTTGTATGTCCTAGCTGCATTGCACATATTTTAGATGACCTCATTAAAAATGTATCAAACTGCTAATGTTGTCAAAATGGTGTGAAGCAAGTTATAAATGTAAAATGTATCAATATCAATAATATAATCTGTAAAGGTGCCTCTTTCATCATCTAAGTTTTGTGTTTTTGCAATCTTCAGTGTACCGCATCAGCTTCCATCAAAGCTTTGCAGAGATGAAGCAGGGATCAGCTGAGTGGAAGTCTGTTGTTGCTGGGATGTTCTTCTTGATTGGCTTCACTGGCCTGGTTGTACTCTGGCAAAGAAAGTTTGGTATGTCTTTACAAGTTACTATCAGCACATTTCTTGAATAGTTGATGCAGTGGTGCCCCTTATTTCCCAAATATCATCACGTAACTGAGATGAATGCAGCTTCCTTTTATACCAGTTCTTCACTGGATTGTCCTTAAGCCAATTTCTTGACGTATGTGTTTTGTGGTTTTTGCAGTGTATGGACCAGTCCCACACACATTTGAGAAGGAGTACAAAGAGAAGGAGCTGCAGAGGATGTTGGACATGAGAATCAACCCAGTCGAGGGCTTCTCCGCCAAGTGGGACTACGAAAATAAGCAGTGGAAAAAGTAACTTTCAGACTCAGAGGACCACTTCACATACTTGAAAAGAAAGTCAGACCAACTCAAAGATACAAGAGTACCTTTATTTCTGTATTTATCACTTGTTCACATTACCTCAGTCTGTGCATTTTGGAAGACCTCTTCCTCCTAAGGTCATGGTGTATTATAGAAATGAGAATAAAAATCGCTAAACCTACAAAACAAATTTATTTTGTCTGTATTTTGTGTTACTCACTTGAACAATGATTTAACATTAATGATCATTAAACAAATAGAGACTGAACCAAGTTTAAAGAGGGGAGAAATAAGGTCATGGTTTATTGCCCATTATTTCATATTAAATAGAATATTGTTCATTTCAGTAAACTAACATCTTTGAAAAAAGCTGCATCAGTAAATAGTGAAATTTCTATACAGACTGATCAGTCTATCTGTACCAGTTTATCATTTAATGACACACTCAGACTTGGAAATATACTTTAATCACTTTTAAAATGCAATCATTTCAATGCCATAAATCAAATTCATTTAAGTGTGTCCTGCATGAATGGAAATCTCTGACATCTGTGAGAAACCTGACAGTATGGTCATGGTGAACGTATATGTAGGTTAGTGGGTTATGTTTACTAGGGCATAAGTTCCACTGGTGATTAAGTGGGACATGTCCTCTGATCTAACATTTCAAGTAGTTTTACTAGATTCCCTTTGACCTTTGCTTTTCACCTATAAGCTACCACTAAACACGTGGTATTGTGTTCGTGTTGTCCTACTTGTTGAGATTAATGTTTAGGCAGAGAGCTGTCTGGGCTAGAAATGCACTTGCATACATTTTGGGGTTAAACATTGAGCCTGATAACTGTGAAGCCTTTTATACTAAAGCGCCTTCTAGTGCGTAAGGACTCTGCTGCATTTCACAGCCTCCAATAATCACTGCTTCTGTTAGGATGGAGGAATTATCACAGAACAAAACCATATACAGTCTATGGACAAAACCGCTCACTGCAGCTCTTACGTACCTGAGTCAGTCCTAGCATTTACCGTAATATCTCAGTGCAAGCGCACTTAATATCGAAGAGTGGCGGGCTTGACTTTGGACGAGGAGCAGCTGGCTTGACCACAGTGATATACGCATATTTGTTTAATCTCCAGACCTAGTATGGATGAGAAAATATCTCAAAACCACTATATGAGGAGCAGCCCTGAACCAGCTGATCTGGCGGCAGCGTACAGTGACGTCACTTACCGGATGAGTCCGCAGCTGCAGTTAGTTCACGTCAAAACAATCCGGAAGACGATAGATACAGCATGACGGGGACGTGTTTCTGTAGCTGAGACGAGGTTATGATATTATACATGGTAGCAGAACTAAATGATGTTGTTTAACAGAGGGCAAACATAGCGTTTGGAGTGCTCTTTGTTGTATGTGCGAGTCAGTACAGTGTCGGGTTTTGGTTCCAAAGTCCATGTTGACGTTTATCGCAGCAGCAGCTCCTCATATTAAAGTCCTGTAGCTGGTCGCAGACTGATTCAAAGTCACCATGGGTAATGGGATGAATAAGGTAGGATCAAGTTTTTCACTGACCATGATTTGATGTCGTCTGTGGCTTGTTGTGGTCGAACTATTAGCTAAAATATGTGTCAGTCAATATCGTCCCATGTTTTGCTCTGATTTTACAAGGAGTCAAAATAAAGTGAACAAAGTATAGCCTACAGTGGATATTAAGTGCAGAAGCTTTAAGTGTATCAAACCTGTGGCCTCTAAGTGTCTTAAAATGTTGATAACCTAATCAAAACCTTTTTCGTTTTTCCATATACTATAGCTACTTTTACAACCATTAGAGTACTAACAATGACTAACAGTACTATCAGTCCACACAGTATCCGGTTGTACGGTAGCACTACATGCAAATTATTTCACCTTGCAAAGTAGGTCCTTTGGGCTGGTAGACTGCCTCTGAATTTATAGACTAATCTGTTTTTTGCTGCCCTGATATGCCCTGAATTCACTGCACCTTTTAGCAAGGCATTTACTGTAAACTGCAGTACTCTGGCCAACCCTAACCTTTGACCCTGACCTTTGACCTTGTGACAAGAGAGTCTTTATGCAACTTGGCCCCAAGAAAAATTCATATCCATGCGTTATTCCCACATTGTTATGCAGTAGTTTAGTACAAGTACACACAGTAGTTGCATGGACATGACAAATTATAGGAATGACTTAAAGGGATATTCCGGTGTAAAATTAATTTAGGGTCAAACACACTGTAACACTGAGTTCAACACCCCGTTGAGAGGTGAATGTTGCTGACCGCTTGCTTCTCTAGTTATACCAACTTTAGTGACGACCGCAGGATAGCAATACAGAGAGCCATACGCTCAACCAAAACGCCACTCTATAGCCACAAATAATTCTTAGAACAGCACCTAACTTCATCAACAGTACATATAGGGTCCTAACCATAGTACTAGCCACCAAACATCTTTTAAACTTTGCTAAATTTCTTTAGCAAAGAGGCTAAACACAACTCACCTACTCTCTTCCAGCAGCCGCTTGTTTGTAGCGTCTCTATAGGCCAGCCCATTATGGACATTTATGATAATTTCTTCATGGAAATGCAATCAGACAGAGATGCTAAGGCAGAAGAACTACTGCGTCTGCAGTGCAAAATGATTAATATGATGGTTATTACTTTAAGGTAATGATAAAGAAATAATCATAAGTGTTCTTCCTTGAGCTGCGTCACCCTGCAGCAGTCCGTAATGGACTGGCCCGAGGTCTCCATACAAACAAGCGGCTGCTGGAAGAGAGTGGGTGAGTTGTGTTTAGTCTCTCTGCTAAAGAAATCAGGCAAAGTTAAAAAGATGTTTGGTGGCTAGTGCTATGGCTAGGACCCTATATGCACTGTTGATGTTCCTGTTTATGGCTCCTCAGACTGTTGTTTATTGCTCCCCTGTGGTCATTACTTGAGTTGGTATAACTAGAGAAGCAAGCAGTCTGCAACATTCATCTCTCGAGGGGGTGTCTAACTCGGCGTTACAGTGTGTTTGACCCTAAATTAATTTTACACCGGAATATCCCTGTAAATGATTAACCCTGACTTGTTAGAGGAGATCAGGGGTGTCTATTATGCTTAAGGCATTTTGATGGCACAGTCTGAGCCTGCTGTCTTTTAGAAGTGGAAATCACCACTAATCAATACAAAGTTCTTTGACCAAACTCCTTTCTATCCTGATTGCCTTGAGCTCTGTAGTAGGAGGAGGATGTTCCCATATGTAGGGATCACAGGGTTAGTGTATGGTTTGATAAGAGTGAGTCATACACTAAAGCCTGAACTGTAACCTCAGACAAACTCACTTAGAAATCTTCGAAAGACTTTTGAGCCACACATTAGGCATCAGTCTTTTAAACTATAAAACTTGTAAGAGAGAATATTATGATTGTCTCTATAGTACAGCTTCATGGAATGACAAAACCAAAGATGATGTGCTTTTAACACACCCGGTATTACCCGCAAACATCTGCTGCTTCACTGTACTACAGTACAGTAGCACTGAAGCTGTGGAGAAGCCCTTAGAGGCTGCTTTCCACTCATCACTTTGTCCTGATAATCATGCATCGATGCTTCAGGCCTTGTATGGAGCTTGTAAGGAATCGTTCCTTTGCTGGTTCTTAAGCCTTAAGCCTTAAATCCTATCTGGCTCAACCCAGGACAGTGAAGTTTTTGAAGCTTGTGATGAATTTCTAACCTGAGTTGAACATGTCTGTGAATGCTGCTTCACAGGTTGTTGATGGGCTTTACCTGGGGAACATAAGAGGTAAGAGAAATCTAAAATCAGTCGATTGTTAGTTTCTGATGTCAACAGTTGCAGTGTCAGGGAAGGATTTCAGTGTCGAAGTCAGATGTCAGCCATTATTGGCCATGTATTTAAAGAGAAAGGAGGGACATGGAGATTTATTCAAAAGAATAAAGCAACTATTAGCCATTATTTTTCTTCAACTGCTTCATTGCTTTTTGGTGGTTTAATACAGCAGTCTATACTTTAGAGAATATACCCATAAAATGCACAGACTTTGTTTGCCTATCATGTGTGAGATTTCAGGGTAAGACGACAAGTGTGTGTTGCTGAGAATATAATGTAATTATCTAGAGAGTGATGCGAAAATGAGATTCAGCTGAGTGTCACTCATTCCTTGTCCTGCAGCAACCTCTTCCCAGTTAATGTGCAGCTTTCTAACTTTAGCTGCAGCGATGATGACATGAGCATAACGGCTAAAATTAGTTCAAGTGACAGGAGCAAGTGACCGCAGGCCTAGCTGTCCCAGATGATAATTCAGGATAGCAAACAACCCAGAGATTTTCTGTTTACAAAGACGGGTGAATTGTTATGATGATGTTATGATGTGATTTACATACTGGTACCAATTAGTTCCCTGTTTTTATCCTCAGATTCAGAAAACAAAGACAGTCTTTCTAAGAATGGAATAACCCACATCCTGTCAGTGTATAACAACGCCAAGCCTGTGTTTGAGGTTAGTGGAAAATCCATGTTAGCGACGTCAAGATTTGTGTACTTCCTGTGGAAATTTTACCTGCAGTTTTTTTTCCCAATACAATCATGCGTAAAATGATGTGTTGTGTCCCATCAGCCAGAGGGGGGTGGTGATGAGTTGTGATTGGAAAGGCAGATGGCCATGCTGTCCACTGTGTCAGTGCCTTTATGCTCAACATCTCAGGCTAATTTTACTAACATCTAGTTTCTTAAGCTTCTCTCAAACAGCAAGATAAATATAATTTTCCCCAGAATCATTATATAATGCTGAACTTAAGTGAGCTAAAACTGTGACTATAATCAGTGTAAAAGTTCTCGTTTATTGTACAGCTGACTGAGGGTTCACATTGGAGAGAAGTGACAAATGCTCAGTATTAAAACTTTTCCTTAAATTCAGTACCCAGTCGTGAAGTCGTTTGTATTTATTTACAACTTGTTAATGTTTTTTTCATGAATGTTTCACAGGACAAGAAGTACCTTTGTATTCATGCAGCTGATGCTTCAAGCCAGAACCTGTGAGTGAACACACACTCTCTTACACTCACACAGATTTAGATTTATTAATGTTACTTTCATCTCTGATTTTAAATATCCATTTCAAACTTGTATGAGTCACGCTGTTGCATTTCAACACTATCACGCTCTGGTGCCAAGTGTTACAAAGTCGGTATGAAAATCCTTGTCACTTATAAAACAGATGGATTTTTTAAAACAGTTGCATGTTTTTATTCAGGAATTTTTGGTTGTTTTCTACTAACAAGGGATTTTTTTTTAAATTTATGCAGAGAATGCTTGAATTTAAACAGAAGTGTAGAACTGCTCAAGTTTCTCATTCAAATTAAAAACGTTTCATTTCAGTCCATCCAATGACTTTAAGGTTTGTGAAGCAAACCAGAACCTGCAAATAAGAAACTTTTCTTTGTACTGTTTTGATTGTTTGTGTATTTTTGCGTTAGGTAGGGACACAAGCAGAGAGTGGGGCAGAGAGAGATGGAGTAAGTGTGTCCAATGTGTCATTGTTCATCAGGATCTGGCTTGATGTTGTAAGAGCAGTGAGCTGTCCCTCCACCCTTTGAGCAGCTGCCAGCTCAGTGTGTTAGTCATCACATTTATCTAAGTTTCTATGCAAGGCCTTTGAGTACTTGTACAACACAAGTAGGGGTAATGTTTGATTAAACACTGTACAGTCTGAGGACAAAAAACACAAACTTGTGTTGCAGTTTGAGCATCAATGCAAAAGAGCAGCATCACATCTATGAGTGTTGAAACTGGTGATGGAACGTCATTTCTGCTGCACTGGTGCCTTCTGCTGGTTAGCGGGAGTTCCTGCACAGGTGAACTTGTTTGCATTAATCTCCAATGCAGTTAACCATTCCCTGTGAAGAGTGCAGAGTGTCTACATTTTGCCTATCTGTCATCTTTATACACTAAGAAATGCTTTTATAGTTATTTTTTTCGGCTTAATTCTAGTAGAGATGACCTTGTAGGTGTCCTGTATTTCTGCAGACATTGGAGTCATCTTGCATTTGAAGAAAAAAAGTTGCTGCTTGAATTTGCAAACAAGAAACAAAGCTGTGTACAATATAACTTAATGAAAATAGCATTTTTCAGTTTAGCTGTGATGTTGTTGATTGGGTGGGGTTGGAGGTGTCTGACCTCCACTGTCGCAATCAAGTGTCCTTCCCTCAGGCAGCAGAGGAAGGAAACCTCAGTGTGACATCTGGCTGTTGGGCCCCGACCACCCAGGACTTTAATAAACCCCTCTGTCACAATCACTGATCTGCCTGATGGGAATGGTGAGGCCCACTGACGCCCCACTGCGTGAAGGAGCCACTGTGGACATATCTGATGGGCCCTCCCATGTGCATAGCCTGAATGTAGAGCTACTGTGGCTGTTTAAAGCTGTTAGAATAACCTTAGACTTCTATAGAGCTCCTATGATCAAGCCTCGGGATGAATTACAGTCAGGTTCATTTTGGACAACTTTAAATCAACGTTATGATCTGAATAGGCTCCTAACATTTCACCTAATAATGAATATGACAACGATAGCTACAACCCCAATTAAAAAGATTTGGATGGTGTGTAAAATTCAAGGATTCAAGGAACTTTATTTTTCATACCCCACACCTTTTACAGTTTGTGGTTTGAGATTAGTACCCAGGTCCGTTTCCAAGCCAAAATAATAGGATACGATACAAAAGCAATTATAAAAACATTTAAGAGCAATAAAAGACAAAAGCAAAATGTAAACAAGGTAAAAAAAAAAAGCAATAGTCATCAATCTAATGCTGGTTAAAAAAGGTTTTGAAAATCATTTCAACCTCATTGAAAATATTGCAAATGCGTATCAAATGTTGAAATTGAAAGATGTTTTATGAAAAATATCTGCTCATTTCAAACATGTAGCAAACATTTCAAAAAAGCTGGTACAGGGATAAGTTTGCCATTTTGTTGCATCACCTCTTCTTTCAACACCACAAACCTCAGGGAGGAGACCAGCTTGTAGACTTTTGAAAGTGACAATGTTGTCTTTCCCGACATGAGGCATCAACTGCTACTTTTTTTACTTCATGATGCCCTAGTGATGATGTCGGGATCACAGCCAGGCCGGTTGAGCACCAGGACTCTTCTATGACAGAGCCATGCTGTTGTAGCACAACCAGAATGTGGTTTGACACTGTCTTGCTGATATATGCAGGGTCTTCTCTGAAAAGGCAGGATGATAGCATGTTACTCCAAAACATGTTGAGATATACTTCAGCACAAGTAATATAAATGTTTTTCTATTTGCAGGGCACATCCTGCATTTGAGGATGCACTATTGGAAGTGATCTTGACTCCATGCAGTCATTTCCACTACAGAGTCACGTCTGTATTTAATGCGAGGTGCCCTCAGGCCTGAAGCAATATTGGTTTTGGTCCTTGTCCCTTTTGTACTAAGTTTCTCCCGGTTCTCTGAATCTTGTAGTGATATTATGATACTCTGATTAAATCTACTAATTCTTTGACATTTTACACTGAGGAACATTACTCTCAAACTGTTGGGCTATTTGTTCACATAGTCTCTGTCAGAGTTTCTATCTTTATTCCTGAGACTCTCAGCCTCTCTTAACTGCACTCTTTCATACTTAGTTATGTTACAAACCTGATGAAAAAAACCTCATTTCTCAGGAAGTGTTCCTCCAGGGGATTTTTTTTAAACATGACACATCTTTTCCAGTGTATTTGGCTTGCATAAATAGCATATTTTTCATTAAACATACTTTTTTCAGTTTTAACATTTGATTTGTTATCTGTGCGCTGTTTTCATTCAGTTAAAGGTTTCAATAATTTGCTGACTGTCAGAATCTGTTTGTATCAGCATTGTATGCAGTGTTTTGGATTTGAGGTTGTAAATGCAAACCTCCCACATGTTTTGTCATGCATGCAGTGTGTGAAAAATTGCCAAACCAAGGTTACATTCCAGTAGCAGCTGGCTGGGGTATCAAGCCATCATTGCTTATGTCAATGTTAATGTGGAATTGCAATCTTGGAGACTGATATGAAAAAAGGAAACATTTAAGAAGGATTGTACAACATGCTGAAATCTCTAGAAAATAATACGCACATGCTCATGTTAGTGAAGGAACAGGCGTTTCCCTTTAGTTAACATTCACATAACAATGCTGTTATAAGTTCAGTGTACACCCTGCACTGATGAACCATGAAGGTGTCAACTCATTTGCACCAAACATTTTCTAAATTGAGATGTGTGATCATGTGATCTGTCCACCACGATGCACTTTGGTTATGAATACGGTGGTACATCTTCTTCTTTAAGTGATTTCTCACACATATTGGTGCATTTGTATGAATCAAAGACCCGCAGGAGCTTATTCAGCAGCTCAATAGTGACGTCTACAAGTTTCTTGTGTTTCAGTACCATCCTCTATTTTCACAGCGGGTTAAAACCTCAAATGTTTGTCACAAGGTAATTTTCTGCACATTAAACAAGAACGCCGGAAACCTCTGTGTTAGGAAGACAGACCAAAGTGCTGAGGAGACATCTTTTGAAGAGGAGTTAGGATCTCAAGGAGGAGAAAAAAGAAAAGGAGCAGTCAATCTATTTTAGCCTCTGTCTGTTATTCTGTCTGCTATTGAGTAACCAGCATCTGCTCCTCAGGAGACGCTGCTATCAGCCATGCACTGCTCGGTTATGCAAAACCCCATCAGTGTTTCCTGACAGTGACCAAGTAGGATATTTGAGGAGCTGTTTCTCTGCGCTGAGCTGTTTGTCTTCCCTTTTATTTCAGAAGAGGCCTCGAGCTCTGGTGGTGGTGTGTGTGTGCTCATGTAAGAGGCAGAGAGGGAGTCATGTCTGTCTGAGTTTTTGTTTATCTGTTTGTTTCTTTTTGGGCTGAGAAACCATTTCACACAGATGAATTTTTAGCTCTTGTTGGCCTTCCTTTTATAAAGAGTCCCACGCATGTTAAATGTCCCAGAATGAAGCAGGAAACGAAGTTTGTGCTCTATTTTAGTTGTGAAGTTTAAAATATTCACTTGATCCTTTTTAGACACTGAATAATAACGAATGCTGGAAACTGGTGAAATTTTGCAGATAGACAAAACCCAGGCCAGTTACTTCCTTGTCTGTCCCTGCTGTCTGTGTTCATGTCTACCACAGACTATCTGTTTGAGTGTACTGAAGCCTTTTTCTCACATGACAGGTTGGAGTAGTGGAAAAGTACTTCTCTTCGTCATGGATGTTTCTCATCTCGAAATTGACTGAGTTAATTAAAAAAAAGAAAAAAACGCATCCAAGACATCCTGATACCCGTATCTTTTTTAGAGTTACCTGGAGTTTCCACTGTCAACATCCAAACATCTTGTTTTACAGTTACAGTGCAAAGTTGGGGCCCCAGCACACAGGAGTTTCAGTTCAAGTGTCCTTTTTCATATCCTGTAATGAGTGGTTTATTTTTAGCTTAACAAACCTGATACCACTGTACCTTGCTCAAAAAAGTTTTCTGACAGTACTTTTGTTTTTGATTTGTTTCCAAAAACTACGTAAACCACCTTTACATTAAATCAGTCAGATTTGAAAGTATTAAGTGATACCAAAGTAAGTTTTTGTGTGTTTTCTCTGCAGATTACAACATTTTAAAGAGTGCATCAGCTTCATCCACGAGTGTCGCCTGAATGGTGGATCTTGTCTTGTACACTGGTAAGTTTAGAAGTCTTGGCCTGGAAGTCGTGCCATGTTGACGTAGTGTTTGGATCTGTACCAGGTCATGGCTCAAGGCCTATAAAGAGAAATTCAACGATTAGAAAAAGAGTTCTTTCACACATTTAACAACTCATATCCAATGGTAGTACAGTTGAAAACACTGCAGCCAAACATGACGTGAGAAGATATTTTTTTTATTATGAAATGTTTTTACATCAGAACAGAAAAAAATGATTTTATTTATACCTTCAACTGTTCCAGACAACCAAATTGTGTAAAAATAAAAATAAGAATAGACTAGAAATGAACTAAATCTCATAACTCTGTTTCCAGTGATCAGTGTGTCCTCTGTGCAGTTATTCAAATGTATATTACTGCAAAGGTAGTTCCCCAATATTGAATATTTTACTAACATTTCTAATTTTACTACACTGTTCTTGCATTTAAATACACCATATCCAAATTTTGAAGAAGTCTGTGTCAGTCACATTGTTTTATCACGAAGTTTATGATGCCACATGATTGGTCAGCTGTCAATAATTTGATCAGAAAGCTGAAGAATGTGTCTCAAACACACACAAGGGTTAACCCTTTGCTAAATGCCAAATCAAACACATGCTACGTGTGTAATCCATCAAACAGGAAGTTCACCTCTGCTCAGACTTATCTAGTTTGAACACAATGTGTAATCACAGAAAGAGAGAAGAAACAGAGGAAACATTACATAATAAAAGAGTGAAAATTGTCACTGATCATCATCAAGCTCAACTTGGACATTCATCAAAACATCTTGGTGAAAATAAGGCGTGAAGGTCCTGTGAGGAGTTTTTGTGTGATTGTGACTGTGATCATCAGCTTGAAAGATGAAAATGTCTCAGTTGTTAATTTTGATGGCTGAAACTCCTGTGAGGGGGAAGGTGTCAGACCAGATAAAAGCTTAAGAAGCAGCCTTTTTTTCTAAGTATTTCATTGCAAATACTCACAGCGAGTGACACATTTCAACTGTGAAAGACAACAGGATGAGTGTACTTTGTCTGAGAAGACTGCTTTCAAAGATAAGAGAGAGAGATATCACTTTGTCCAGAGGGGTTCAAGCAAAAGTTCTCCATAGCAGCTTTAAATAACTGGACTCTGTATAAAAATGATCTGAACTGAGTGCTTTGCTCTGCTGCAGCCTAGCAGGTGTGTCCCGCAGCACCACTATGGTGGTGGCTTACCTGATGACCGTCACCCACTACAGCTGGGAGGAGTGTCTGTCTGCAGTCAAGGCTGTCCGCTCCTTTGTCGGCCCAAACTATGGCTTCCAGCAGCAGCTACAGGAGTACCAGACGACACAATTGTCAGAGGTAAACACGTGAGGAAACAGGGACACAATGAACGCATACACACTCTACTGAATGAATCCTGCAGATACCGAGTGCTTTGATGTAGACATAAAGTCAGAGCAGATCTTTGAGTTGTTTCCTTTCTGACTATGATTTTGTTTTTTGTTTTTTTCTGAAGTATTTTGTGGCTGCAGTAGCTCTCTGTCGATGCTTTAATGTGTTATGTCTTGTTGGTTGGGATTCAATTCAAGTGAAATGTGCACAGGAACTGACCTGAGATGACACATTAAACCATCATTCAGTGGTTAGCCTGTCAGCCGTTAACTGTGGCTGTCTCGTCATGGAATAAAGCATACCTGACAGCTGCAGTGGACTGTCTCTGTCTCAGTAAATCTGCATTGTTCCTGTAATTTAGTTTTTTATGCCTGTTGAGGCAAATATTGTGTTTCACAGTAACCCATCATCCTGATAGCTTTCCTGAGAACTCCAAACACCCTCCTCTTCTGCACATTTATTTAAATATATATTTCTGTTTAGATTTGACTTCATTATCTACTCCATTGTGTACTTTTCAGGGACACTCTAGGTTGCTGCTGTTTTGCATCACTTTACGTGAGGACACCTAGCGTGTGATTCCCTCACGATGACTCTGTCACAGCCTTTGACTGGAGAAGGGGAACTGTGGGGACTGTGGGGGTGGAGCGGGGTGGGTGGGGGGGGAGTTGCTGCGATTGCATTAGCTTGGCACTGCTCATCACGTGTTTAGCATTACTGTCAGCATCTTGCAACACAACATGACTGAAAAAAAAGAAACTCATTGTTTGTAGATATTGTACTGATTTCGAGGATTTAAGAGGAAACAGGTTTTTGTGCTTGTGTTTTCCCCACATCTGCCTCTGATAGAAAGTGAGTAAAGAGCGGAGTACTAAAGTCTCTAAAGCAGCTTACAGCTTTGTTTACTGCAGCGGCAACAAGGCAGGAGATTTACTGAAGTTCACATCCAAGGACTGTCTTTCAAACACAGTCAAGGAAAAGAGAGGTGACTTTCTGGTTCATTCCTGTTTTATTGAAGCTCTCATTATCACTGAGACTGAGCTGGTGGGCCAGAGAGTCTCATCAACAGAAAGCTGTTTTACTGATGAGGATAATCTCATTCAGGCTAATGAAAACAAAGTGCAATGCATGAATTAGGAGAAAGAATGAAAGTGTAGGACTTAAAAAGACTTTCTTTGTTGTAACCCAGTCGACCAGTGAAGCTGGGAGTTTCCACTGTTAACGCACTGACTCTTTCTAACCTTTGTCAAGGCCTCAGAAATTATCTAAATGTGCTCACCTGCAGTGTTGCAATCAGCCAAGAGTTTACCTTCACTTTGACTAGATTGCAGCTACCATGAAATCTCAGACCATGATTGGCTGATTTTCTTGTCAGAGGCAGAGCATACAGGTGCATCTCAACAAATTACAATATTGTGAAAACATTTTTTCCCCATTTTATTTTGTAAAATGTTTAAACCTTCAGGTTTTCTTCATACATTAGATGTTGAGTGTAATTTTACCTCTGTTTTTAATTCAATGATTTGGGCTGACAGCTCATCAAACTCATTCTTACCTTCAGTATTTGGTTGTGGGTGCTTTACCATGAAACACTTTCTTATAACCCTGATGAAGACCATTAACTTTTTCATGGTATTCTCATTTGTAGAGATGCACCTGTATATTGAGAACAGCTGTTTGTGTTGTGTTTAACAGGCTGCTGATTGCTTCTCTTCATTTAATTGTGAAACATGTCCTTGAGGATTTCAATACATTCGATTTCATTGTTGCCTCTCTGTTCAGTTACCTTTCAAAGTTAAAAATGATGCATAAGAATTAAACATTTTAGAATTTTTATGTAAGAAGTTAAAGGTGTTATAACTGGAGAAAACCCTCCTGGCTTTGGGTGCTTGTCATCCCTGACCACCACTATAGAAGTCTGTGTCCCAGTTTAGCCCCCCAGTCAAAAACTAGACTTAGACTTTCTTCATTTGTCATTGCATAGAATAAAACACAGCAGTGATTCCTCTCTGCAACAAAATGTCGTTGCTTGGCTTCCATATCACAGCATGATGGTGTTTAATTTAATATACAGAAAAAAATGAATAAATAAATGAAAAACTAAGGGTTAAATATCAGCATGGTGAGTAATATTGCACTTTCTGGAGGTAGAGTGGTAGTGGAATAAAAAACAAATAAATAAAATATATATAAAAAGATATATGTTCTCACTTGACACACTAAATTCAGAATAAAATCTTAATACATTTAATTTGTTTAATTTTAACCTTTCAGAAAATAATACATTCATAAAACTAAAAGATTCACAGATCCCACATTAAAAAAAAACAACAACACTCAAGGCCAAGAAGAAAAAAAAACAACAACAAAAAGACAAACAAAGAAAAACAAACAAAAGAAGAAACACACAGCCAGTCTTAGGAGTGTTAATACAGCCCAGTTTCAGCCTGAACATGAGTTATGGAACAAACTACACATACATGATGCAACAACAGGGAATACAATCCAAAAGTGTCACAGTTAAAGTGTGTAGAGATGTGAAGATTCATTTTTTTCTTCAACTCGTGAGTGTGTGTGTGTGTGTGTGTGTGTGTGTGTGTGTGTGTGTGTGTGTGTGTGTGTGTGTGTGTGTGTGTGTGTGTGTGTGTGTGTGTGTGCGCGTGTGTGACTTTCAAAATGCAGTGTCCTGACCCACCTAGAAAAGCAAGGAGAGATGACTAGCATTTTTAACTTAAAGGAAAACAAAAATTTTACTTTATCAACACCAATTTTTTGCGCCGTGTCTTCTGAATTCATCATCAAATTCACATTTTTACTTCATTCTGTTTGATAAGGAGAGTAAGAATTTTTCAGCTCCTGAATGGTTTCTCTTTCTTTTTCAATATGACACAAAGATATAAATCATAATTTTATACAGCTCCTGATAATAGATTCATTGATGTGTTATCTTTACTGTTAGTCAAAATATAAACTCATTAGTCCTGCTGTGTCTAGGTCATGAGTCAGAGCTGGACTGATTTAGTGTTTGAGTTGATTGAATTAACTCTTAACTTCAGAAGATAAATGTGAAACAATCAGAGTTACTTTCACTTCATAGTATTTCGTAAAGACAAGCATTGCACAAAGCTACTCAGAATTCCCAGTCATTTTTTGAGACATGGCAGTCAATCTGCTGCTGCGGGTACTACAACAACAACACTTAATCAGAAGCTTTGATTGTATTTTTCTCTTCAACTGGAACACCTGAGAAGTGAAACGAAGACCAAGAGACTTTTCCACCCTCTAGTCAGGATTCCTGCTTTACCCTGTCATCACGTCTTTTTTCATGGATGGCTGCTGATTCTCACAAACTGAATGTAGACTGTTGATGTGCCGATTGGGGTTTTATAATTTTTGAATTTCCAAAGTGACAAGCATGTTTTTCTTTTAGACTTACTTGAGGAAATGTAAGAGGAGAAGGGGGAAATCTTGAGTCTCAGGTGACGGTGTGTGCAGGCGTGTCTGCAGAGGGATGACTGTTACTCAGAAACATTTTATAAAAGACCTCTCTGTCCTGCATCGCACTACTTCTCGGTACTTACTCCTACTCAGATTGCCATTAATACATACTTTTCAGTTTGTAAAAGTTCTGTTGAAAATGTGTCATCATCCTTGTATGAACAAGTTGCTTTTGTTTGATGGAGAAAAAGGTCAGATGTTCAAAAAAAGAGGATCTGAGTGAACTTTTCCCAGGAGCTCATTGTAAATGTTGAATGTTCTGACTTTTAGTTGTTGGGTAAAAAAGAGAATTTTACAGCATATTAGGAACAAAAACCACAACACTGTCTGTTTTTCATTAGGTAACAATTCATGTAAAGCAATTTGACCTTAACCAAATTACTACAGAGTGCTTTAATGACATTTTTGTATCTCTCTGTTCCCAGTATCGAGCCTGGTTACGGTCCAGTTTCCGTCCCAGTCCCTTCAATGACCAGGAGCAGGTGGGCGCCCTCCTGAGCCAGTATACAGAGCAGCAGGAGAGCCAGAGGAGAGGAGGAGACCACCGCTGGATCAGTCAGAGCGAAGGTGTCTGTGCTCTGCCTTCAGACTCCAATGGTCCTGAAGGCAGCAGCTGAAACACCACGTCGGCCTGTGCCAAAGTCCTGCCAAACACTGTCCACAGACGGCAGTAGTTATTACTCTGTATTACCCAATTTTAAATCAACCTGAGGGGGATTCAAACTGTGAGGCCTTTGTTTAGCTTAGGGAGCATAGAGTGAAATTATTCCACCTTAAAAGCCAAGGATAAATTAGATAGTGAATTTACACGGACGTGGTCTCTGCTGTGTCATCTGTTTTTCCTGAAGAGACATTTTGAGGCTTAATGACTGAGGGTGCTGTAATGAAAACACAACACACAGATAAAGAGGTGAAGATGAGGCTTTTATCCTCTTGGCATGATGCACATTTATGTTCAGCTAAATCTACAAATATATGAAAAACGTCCCTCATTCATTGTGTACCTTGGAATAATTGACCTGAACAATCCAAACTGCTGGCAGTAACATGACCGTCTATGCTCTTGAGTTGGAAATTTCAACCTGAAACCTGAGAGAAATCTCCCGGCCTTTGCAGTCAGACAAGTGGACACTGAAGGAGCAGCAGTTTTCTTTGCACTTTTGCACTGACTTCATTTTTCAACTCCTAAAGTTGTCTCTTAAGGTTGATTTGAAATTGAGCTACAGAGCCTTCTCCACTTCTAGTACCGCCCATGTTTCCTTAACTGAAAAAAGCCACAACAGGGGTCTCGGTGCTCACAGACGCCTTACTCTAAACACCTCTGCACCTTAGCCATAATGAATAAACTCCACTTCCATGAGGACTTGGTTCACCTCAGAGACCCGGTGTCTAACATGGTGTCTTAAAGGAACATTTTGTCTCCCCTTATGGAGATGTATATTTGATGTCTGCAGTAATTATTTCCACTATCTATTCATCTGTTTGATATGTTCATTATAAATCTATCTATACTCTGAACTCTGGATGAGATGTCAGAAATTGTGGAATTTGATGCATTTTTTTCTAGAATAATAGTGCAAAACCAAACAACAAACAAAAGGCACAAATTTTTATATCTTAAAAAAAAGTGGAACCAGCACATGTTTGGCGTTTGTACTTGAAAATGAGTTAAAGTAATATATTCTCGAAACAGAAAGCAGTCTGAAGGCTAAATGCTTGACTAAAGGAGTTCAAAGATTAATCTTTGTTGCTCTGGCCACGGTTTTATAGCGGCTCCACTAGCTACTTCAACGTGTCACAATAAAGATAGTTATATCACTTTTGCACATCACTGCCCTCGGAGTAAACAGCATTTGTTTGCACCCAGTTATGTACTTACTCTGCACACTGTACTGTATACTTTACCCATGTCTTTAACAAACTCCAGCACTAACAATCTACAGACCGCATTGTGACCTTAAATTGGTTTGTGTGGGTGTGTAGCTTTGTTCTAGGTTTTGCAGTCCCTACGCCCCTGAACCAGCCAACCACACCGTTGTAAAGAAAAAACATTGAAAGACACAAAGGTTGTAACAAAGGGAGTACTTACTAAAATTGACAAAATGTTCCTTTAAGTCAGTGGTTCTCAAGTCCAGTCCTCGAGTCCCACTGTCCTGCGTGTTTTGGATGTTTCCCTGCTCCAACACACCGGATTCAAATGATCAGCTCGTTATTAAGCCATTACAGAGCTTGATAACGAGCTGATCATTTGAATCAGGTGTGTTGGAGCAGGGAAACATCCAAAACATGCAGGACGGGGGAGACGGCTCGAGGACTGGATTGAGAACCACTGCTTTAAGTAAAGCATCACAGGTGAATCTTGTCAACATGAAGTATGCAGAGTGAAACTATAACTAAACCTGAAGGATCTCTCTCTCTAAGTCTTCCTGATTTTACTGAAGTTTAATGTTTTTATTGTGAAAAAGCAGATTTTAAAGTGATTGTGTCATAAATTCTTGGGTTTATTTGTTTGTTTAAATTGCATATTTATGGTGTTTTTTTTTGTTTGTTTGTGTTTTATAATAAAATGCAGTGATGACAAAAACATGGAAATGCTAATAAATCTCTACTATCAACACCACAGTCTGTGTCATTTTGCGTTTGACAGAAATTACTACAGATGCCTCTTAATGACCTTTTAAAAGTAAGCGAAACCATCAGCAACAAGTCTGTTAACTTGGGGTAGATGTCAGACCAGATGACTAAGAGCCTTTATCGACTTTCTATGCAGCAAATACTCACAGTGAGTCAGTAGGTTTACATGCAGATCAATTTATTATAATACTCCTACTGACACTGGACTTTTAAAACACATGTAGACACATACGTCCGACTGAAATAACACTGAAATCTCAAAATTGGACGAATATACCAGGATAATGCAGTTGGTGATCGATTTCCCCTGTTATGTATACAACTCAATCGAGCTGAAACTGGCCGAAGCGTCAAGCACATGCCCCAGAGTTCACACTTGAGGTTCTGAGCCATTGTTTAACCTGCATCAATTAGCTGTTAAGAAGTCAGGTGGTAAACAAAACCCACTCAGACAGAAAAAGGATGTAAAAAAGGAAGAAATTTTCCCAACAAACGGCACAGAGCTGGAAAAGTGATGTCCTGTTACCCTCTTGCTAACATCTTTAGATGGCTTTTTTTGATATGTGACATGTCAATAGGGAGATGACCTGTTAGTGACAAGCTGACGGGGGGCATGTCGCTGCCTATACTGTAGCAGAGTTATGCTTCTGTCAATAATTTGACTCTTGCCCAGCGTAAACTGGGATAAGGACAGTAGTCCAGTTAAATTGCTAAATTGAGCTATTGCTGTAGCTTGACTTAACTGCATGTAAACGCACAAGTCATGTCCAGAACTAAAGCTCTTATGGCTCTTTCACTCAGTGGGTGATCTACTTATAACACTTAGCAACAAATTGCAGCTGAATTATTACTGTAAATTACAAGAATTTACAGTAATGTGCTGTTGACATACTGGAAATTTCATGTTTAGCTTTAAATCGTTCAACACTCTTTCCCCTAAACTGAGAAAGAGTTAAAGAAGTGGTCAGGCGCAGAAATTTTACATTATCAGGAACGAGTCATTTCACTTCTTATCATGAAGCTGTGAAATGAGAAGACTTCACCCTAGAGAGCATCACATGAAATGAAAATTGGGGGCAACCGAAACTGTTTTTAATGCTGACTCACTTACTGAAATAGATAACCAGTATTTTGAATCAATATGGATTTACAGTAAAATGGCAATTTTGTGATTTCCATTATGAACCTTTTATTTAAAAAACTCGGCTATTTCATCAGTAATTAATTAGGGGAAGCATCAAAGGTTAGTTTGTATCCCTGAAAACAGCCTTTACCTTTCACTGTACATTAACCAGTGTTGTGATTTCAGTTGTTGACAGATCTAGGGAAAGACACTCCTGCAGCCGAGCCAAAGTAGACCACTTAAAGAGATTTTAAACTTGAAGGTTGTTGGGTGTCATTGCTCACCTGTTCACTAGGACTAATGTATACTGAGCGGATGGTTATGTGAATCAGAATCCTGAAGTGGAGGAGTCCTGCAAGATGAAACCTAACTTTTTTTTCACAGTGTCAACGAGCAGAGGTGAAACACACCTGATTTCTTTCAGTTGATTTATTTGATACAATGTGTGGGATCAGATTGATCCGTGCATCACTTTTGTTATGTAGTTTTGGCAATCAGAATCAGGTACCGTAGAAAGCCAGGTAACGATTGATTATATTTGGCTACAGACATTTAAATATATGTTAAAAAAAGAAAATGTCCTAAATATCAATGTACAAATCCTTGTTTTCAAGCTTCAACTGTTGACATTTTCTTTAGGGCTATGCCACCATCGCAGTCTCACTTTTATTCTTCTTTGTGCTGAAGTGAAACATTATTTTTGTACATATTTGACTGAAAATTAGGAGGAATGCTTACTCCTAGGTTTCATTATTCTGAAGTAAAAAAAATGTCTGAAAATTGCATTAACTGACTCTTTAACTTTCAAACTGGAAATTGGCTGGCAGTTTATTTCTTTGGAAGCTATTCTGTTGAATCTGTGTGTGTGTGTGTGTGGCGTGTGAATTCTAGTGTATGTAAAAATATTTACTTCCAAAATGCATTAAAATTTAACTAGAATTGTGCTCACTTCACAACATCCTCGCTCCCTACATGTGCTTATTTTTGTCTCTCCTGGTGAATATGGGTAATTGTTGGCCAGCTTTCTTATATGTTTGTATCTATACATGTTCTGACCTCTTATTCCTGGCTTCATATCAAGAGAAGCAGGCATATAAGAATAAGAAGAAAAAGAATAAGAACTCTTTTAATCCCCGAAGGAAAATTCAATTGTCTGTCGTTCCGTTTGTCATGTTCCTTAAAGTCATCTACTATTTACAAAAGACTTGTTAAGTCTGATGGCTGTTGGTACAAAAGTTCTTCTCAATCTTTCTGTCGTCCACCACCTTTGGCCCTTTGGTCCATTGAGGTGTTGTGAAGTGGGTGATCCATGTTCTTGAGAATAGAATATATTACAGTAATATATAGTGTATATAATAGTATATGTAGTACAGTGTAGTATCATATATATTTATATATAGTATATACTGTGTTTAAAGCATTTAGTGGGATCAAAGTAAATTTCACAGCCTAATGCAATACGTTTTATTCAAGGCTATGCTGAAAAAAAAAGAATGAAATAATGAGACTTGGATGTGTTCATTGATTCTGATGAACTCCCTCCCACCATCATACTTGACATTACACGAGCGTTAGACACTCTCTTTCCAAAAGATTCGGTCAAGTGGAATCATCCTCCCTCACCATCATATTACTAACAGTGGCTCTGTGTACCTGTTCAGTGTATTTCTTGATTTTGAGGTCTGTCATCTGAGCTGCGTGGGCGTATTAAACCACATCACTTTAGCGTGGAGCTCAGAAAAAATCCCCCCCTGCAAAAAAACAACTTGTGATTCTCCGAGTTTAATTCGCACTCCGCGATTGTAAAGCATCTGGCGTGGGCAGCACTTTAACAACCAGCGTGCGTGTCAGACCATTTCTTGTAAATGCCCACAGTTAGGAGAACGGAGGGCCGACCGCTTGGAGATCCAGCGTGCTCATTGGTCAGAGTGAGGAAGCGCTGTCCAATCACCTCACAGCAGTTTCATTCATATTACTGAGCGATATAAACTTGACGGGAGGAGAGATAGAATCAATCTGACAGTGAGCCATCAATCAACAACCCAACATCATCACAGAGTGTAAGTGTTTGTGTTTTTGATTTCGATTGAACAGAATGAAAGTCGAATGGAGATTTTGCCTGGCTTAGAAACTTCTATTCCGTTTTATACAGAGGCAGAGAATATGTCTTTATACACTTGAACAACTTATATTTCCACCTTTAGGTAAAAGTGAACGATCCAGCAAAGAATTCCTTTACCAAGATGTCAAACTCTGGAGGTCGCAGACTGAAACAGTGGCTGATGGAGCAGATCGACAGCGCGCAGTACTCCGGGCTGCAGTGGGAGGATGAAAGCCGGACTCTGTTCCGAATTCCATGGAAACACGCCGGGAAACAGGATTACAACCAGGAAATAGATGCATCAATTTTCAAGGTTTGACTGCGCTCTTGTGTTTCCCCATGGATATGGATAGAATAGGAGCTTTGGCTGTGCGTAAAACCAAAAGATCGTGATTTAAAACTCGATGGACATGTTTAGTTCTTCTTCATGTACGTTTCCTTTAAGACATTCAAAGAGCAGTCTCTATGTGTTACTAAAACAGTCCTTCCATAAAGACTGAGTTGTTTAACACAGAAATAATAGCTTAAATTTTTTCAAAAAAGATGTTGACTATAATTTTAATTTTGATCAGACTTTCTTTCTTTATTCACACCTCATCTTTCATGTGTCTTCCCCCTCTCACAGGCCTGGGCTGTGTTTAAAGGCAAGTTTAAAGAAGGGGACAAGGCTGAGCCTGCCACATGGAAGACCCGGCTCCGCTGTGCTCTGAATAAGAGCCCTGACTTTGAGGAGGTGACAGAGAGGTCACAGCTTGACATCTCTGAGCCTTACAAAGTGTACCGCATTGTACCTGAGGAAGAGCAGAAGCGTGAGTTTATGTCACAGATGCTTTGTTTTTATTTCAGGAAAAAAAAAATCTGCATTGATGACCTTTGACTGACATTTTACCTGATTTGAAAAACAGAGTTGGAATTTCCAATGTGTCAAATGTTGCAGCTACAAATCCTACATCATATACAATCATTTTCAATCATAAAAACACAACATTACTTTATTTGTACCTTAAATAAATTTATGTTTCCTTCTTATGCTCTTAGTTGGAAAAAGCTCAATAATGGCTATGGCCGCCTCCAGCTCTGGTGAAATGACTGACATGGACTGCAGCCCTGCAGCAATCGAAGAGCTCATAAAAGAGGTGAGACCCCAGCTCACAACATGTCTTTCTTACTTTCTAAATTACTCACCCTCTTCGTGTCTGTTCACTTCATTGCCATTCCACTTTTTTGTACAATCTTTTTTGACACTTGCCATACTGAGCATGCACACACTGAACCCACTCAATCCTGAGGTTCCCAAAGCTTCTCTGTTGATAAACAGAGTTTATGATTGCTGTGTGTTTGCAGGAGGATGGCTGCAGTATTCCGCCCAGTCCAGAGTATTGGCCCCAGGGCAGCTTCACTGGTAAGATGATCTTTTCTTAAGCTGTTTCGACACAATAGCTGTTATCTAACCCCTGGTCATTGTGGTTATCAGCTTGTATCTCTGCCTCACATAATCAACAGAGGCTGTTCCGTCTTTGTGAGATATGAGCTTTAATAAGTTTGAAAAAGTAACCACAGTGGAAAGCTCAATGACATGTTCCTGCTTTGGTGGGTGCTATATAGAGGTTACTGGCCTGTCTGTTGAATTCTGCAATGGAAGAATTGACTAACATCCTGTTGAACTTTGCTGACTAAGCTGATTATTTCTTTGTGTGATCGTGCTGGAGAAATGCCTTTTTTTTCTGACGATGCAGCAGATTATTGACATGACATGGTCATGTTAAAAAAAGGTTTTGTCTCTTCTTTTTCTGTGATTTACAGCTTTTCCACAGCATCAGGACCCTTTGCCCTCAGGCGCCGTCGGCTCAGGTATTCATCTCATTGTTTTTCTTAAGTTCTACGCAAGTTTTAACAGCACTAGCTTTACTTGTGTCTTTGAGTTACAAAGCTCACCGAGTGTTTTCTTCTCTCCAGCTTTCTCCCAAATGATGATCAGTTTCTACTATGGAGGGAAGCTGATGCACACACAAATGGTTACACACCCAGAAGGCTGTAGGATCTCCCCACAGCAGCACCTCGGTCGGGGCGGCCTTTACAGTTCAGACACCATGCAGAGTGTTCACTTCCCCCCAGCTGAGTTCATCGAGTACGACCGCCAGCGCCACGTCACACGCAAGCTCCTGGGCCACCTGGAGAGAGGCGTGCTGGTCCGGGCAAACCAAGAGGGCATCTTCATCAAGAGGTTGTGCCAGAGCAGAGTCTTCTGGAGCGGACTGGGAGAGGTGGGCTCACAATACGGCCCCGTGCCCTGCAAACTGGAGAGGGATGCTGTCGTCAAGATTTTTGACACAGGAAGGTTTCTGCAAGGTGAGCATTCCTGCTCAATCAAAACTCAGATTTGCAAGAGTCAGTGTAAAAGACATTTGGGTTTAAAGGTTAACTCCAAACATGATCATAATGAAAGATCTATAAATAATACAATAGTGTTGTCTGTTGTCAGGATATAGCGGCTCACAACTTTGTATTTTACAGCTTTACAGCTCTACCAAGAGGGTCAGTTTCCTCCTCCAGACCCAACTGTGATTCTGTGTTTTGGAGAGGAGCTCCATGATCTCAACAATGCAAAGAGCAAACTCATTATTGTGCAGGTAGGAAACATCAAGTCAAAGCAAGATTCATGTTGAAAAGGATGATGTAGAGGAATACAGGCGAAAACTGTTGTATTCGAGGTGTGATGTACAGAACCTAAAGATTGAGAAAACAAAATAAAATAAAGAAACAAAGGTATTTCCCGAAAAGAGGTTAAAAGCCTGTGTGCTGATGTTTTTTCAAGGTGAAATGTTTAAACCTTGGAAGAATCATGTTGAAAAATGACATCCAGCAGAAAAGCAATCCTCATTAATCAGGGTGTTATTTTAGAGCCTTCATTAGAAAATGCTAAATACTGACATCTTTCTGTCTTCTCTCCGTTCATTGCAGATCACTGTAGTGCACTGCCAGCACCTGTTGGATACAATGAGGCGTCCTCAGCCTTTCTGCAGCAACTCAAACGTGGAAATCCACGATAGTGCAGCCACTGACCAGATGGCCCGTATCTACCAGGACTTGTGCAGCTACAGCAGCCCCCAGAGACAAACCTGCTACAGGGAGAACATGCCCATCACTGCCTGAACTGTGAGCTGAAACAGCCTGCCATGAGTGCTTCAAACTGAATGTACGACACATTAGGGGCATTTATTTTATTTTACAGTCAGACAAATACGGTTAATCACAGGGAAGATAGAAAGTGCTTTAAGCTGCATTTGAATAGGTGATTTTTTGACCTAAACAAAGAGATAAGGATGCTTAAATTAAATAATAGACTTCGGGGGTGATGTTGTATTTACACAAAAGTTCTCCTGTCAGCTATGCAGCATATAATAGGTAATAAGCAATAGGGAATATATACGAACAGATCAACAATCGACATGACTAGTTCCTTTTCTTTACTGGGACTTGACTTTCACAGAGCTACGGAAACATTTTGCTGCACTATTTTTACGTTTTGTAAGTCTCCCTATTTTTGCAGACCAGCTACTTTGTATTTTGTACATTTATCTGTTTGTTTTCATTTATCATCTATCTGTGAGAGATGAGTCTTAGTCACTGCCAGGTATGATTCTGAGGTACAAGCTGAATCGATCAAGAAAACTATCTGCTGTAATGTTAAAAAAAAAAACTGTATTCAGAAAGTCTGAGGAGGAGTGATACACAAAGTGCTGATGTACTCAATAACAGCACTAATGGGACGCCTCTGGTCCACTCAGATCACTCAGTAACTGTTGTATTATAGTGTTAAGATGTCTACCAAAAGCTGATAGAAACTCTTTTTTTAAAAGCAGTGATGTATTTGTTGAGTGTATTTTTTTATCCAGAAAATGATGCAAAGAGCAGATTTGTTCAGATTATTTTCTCAAAAACTCTCTTGGGCGGTCTTCAAAGTCTTCGTTTTGATTGTCACATATTTTTTCAGAAAAGAAACGTAGTTCTCATTGTTGAATTTTTATTCTGACATGAATTATTTTCTTGTTTTAGTGAACTTTTAGAAAAGCACACCAAATTTTTGTTTCTGTAAAAAATATTTTTCTACTTTTCTTTTCTTTTCTTTCTTTTTTTTTTACAGAGAAAAAAAATGAGCTGTTTAAAGTTGCATGGAATTCCAGATGCATTGTGGGTTATATAGATAGGTTTTACTATCAGGCTGTGTGTTTGACCTTTATTTCATTATTTTCTGTAAACTACATTTCTAGTAAAATATTTTTTTTCACTCAGCTTTGCTTGTTTTATATCAACATCTTGTTTTCGCATTTTGATATAGTTGTGCAATTACTACAAAAGTGTCCAAAACAAAACTTTAATGGCACTCGCTGAGTGAAGTTTGCTGGGCACAGAATGATGATGTTAAATCATAGATAAGGATAATATGGATCATAACATACATTTTTAACTTGCAAGCCAGAAATACTATTTATGATGAACTACTTTTAACAAGTTTCCAAAAGCTTTTAGTACATCTTTGTATATTTGACTGTCTAGGCAGCCGTTCAACCGTTCTATCTGTGTTCAGTATTTAAATCAATGTGCAGATCTACATGAGTGCATGACTACACAAGGAGACTACACAGTAAAACTAAGACCGGCCTTTGTGGTGCATCGCCCACCTGATGTGAGTCTCTGAAAAGCACCAAAAATGACACAATTATAGATACAAATCACTGCTGCATGACCAAATTTATAATAAAGTGATCCTGCTCAGGCTATACAAAACTGTCTTTCTGCATGTTTCCTCACTTGATTGACTTTGTATCACGCATGGATGAAACATACAAATTTATTCTACAGTTTTCAATTCTGCAATGTAACAGGACTTAAAGCAGAAATTTGTGGATCTCTAATGAATCATTTTCTCAATACTTTATTTCCGTCATCTAACAATCGTGATAAATGTTGAATCAATTTTGAATCATGTTTAAGTTGAACTAAATGACTTATAGCTGAACAAAACACACATTCAGGAAACATAAATTGGAAATTTTACAGTAATTTTTAAGTCATGCCGATCCAAACAATTGCAATATGAACTTTAAATTGTGAAATTGCCTAAGACTCCATTTTAACTTTATCTTCCTTGTAGGAAATCCTCATTACAAACACTTTTACTCTATTTAGTGACAACTGTAAGTTCATGAACGTCTTCTCTTCAATGGCTGTCTTTACTATAAACACAGGATGATGAAACGTAAACCCTGTTTGAAACCAAAAGAAGGATCTAGGATTGTGACGGCAGGGAAGTTCTCAGACCCCCCCCCTCCCCCCAATGTCTCCCTCTCTGAGTGACAAAGACTGGACTGATGTGGAGTGACCTACTCATGCTAAATTTTTCACACTGAGACAACACTGTCCATTCTTCTCCTGTTTGTTATTCTGAATTAGGGCAAACATCAGACACACCTCATACGTCAGACATGTATCACAGTGGCCACATTGGTGGGGAAGTGGATATAAACATGCTTAGATTGAGGCAGGAAGCATCATGTACGCACACACATAAATGCAATTATACACAAAGACACACTTTCAGTTCCCCAGTTCAACATACCTGAGTTTGTTGTAATTAATCTGAATTTGAAAAAAAAGAGTATATACTGTTCATTACGAGTAGTTGTCAGTTAAAGATGTTAATGCCAAAAGCAAAATGACTAATAAAATAGCATAAAGTGCCAAAAAAAGTGCCTACTTTAGGTTTAATATAAAGAATATGACTGAAACTAAAGAACATACTGCCCCGTTTAACATCATGCACATGCCCACTTCACATGTAAGTGAAATAAGGTCATAGTTTAACCCTTTTTTTTTTTGGCTGCATATATGTGATATTCTGTCATTTTTGTTTTCATTTATGAAAGCCTAACCAGCAACAGGGGGTGGAAAACGGCCACATACCTGTATACATGTCATCTGCTTTGGATACACTCTGAAGAAATATCTTATGCATCTGTCCCTGTCTAATAAACAAGCAGAAAAATAAAAAGGTAAATAAAACTTGGGCAAACACTGAATGAAATAGATAATACATTTATCATAATGGGAAATCAGTACACTGAAGTTATTTCAAATTTAAACATTATTGGCGAGGACATGTTCAATCTCTTTTTTAGTTATTTTCTTCATTGACTCATAAAGATCACACAGTGAAAGCAGTCATGTGCTCCTCATATGACATCTTGGGATAAAACCTTTTACCTAAATTAGTAAATTCAATCCATGGTTCACTGAATAAAATCACAGGTGGAATATTTTGTGTCTCCATGTGTGTTGTTCCCCCTGTGTGTGTGTGTGTGTGTGTGTGTGTGTGTGTGTGTGTGTGTGTGTGTGTGTGTGTGTGTGTGTGTGTGTGTGTGTGTGTGTGTGTGTGTGGTTATCTATATGGGGGAGTTCTGTCTGAGTTCCACAGAACAGGAAGTCACTTTAAAACATCTAAAACAGGAAACTGCCTCTACCCCTCAACCCCAACCCCCTAATAACACATCTGAGGCTGAATATGCATCAGATTTATTGAATATCTGTCAGTAACAGCATCTACATGAGATTTAAGTATAGCTTTTATTAAACCAACATGGCTAAAGAGGTTGGACTCTCTTTAGCCTGACTGTATCTCTTCATTTAGGCTCTTTCAACAAAACATTTAGCCTTAGCTATTTAACTGTACAGACGTTGCATCTCCATAGACCACCTTCTAAACTATTCAGAAAAAAAGAAACACTTGCAAACTAATCAACATGAAAGATACTATGTTGGGTACTAAGATTTTATCAGCTAGAAAGGCACCTTGAGGGTCCTTTGTTTACATTTTATCCACATGTAGAGCACCAAGAGGGGATTTGGTTTACACTTGTTTCACTAAAAGAGCATCCAAAGGGCTCTTTGTTTACATTCATTACACAGACAAGCATCCAGAGGGCACTTAGTTGATATATTATCCACCAAAAAGGCATGAAGAGAGCACTTTGTTGACATTTAACCCACTAAAAAACATCTAATTGGCACTTTTTTTCAATTTTGCAAAGAAAAATTATCTAGAGGGCACTTAGTTTATATATTTTTAGTGAGAAAAGCATCTTCCAGGTCATTGGTTTGCGTCTGTTGCATTAAAATGGCATCTGAAGGACATTTCTGGACTGAAAGAGCATCCTAGGGGATTTTGTTTTCATTTATACCACTGGCAAAAGCAACCAAAGGGCACTTTGTTTACATTTGATCAATTAGGAAAGCATCCAGAGGGCCAGTTTTATGAATATTAAATCCACTGGAAGGGCAATCTGTGGGGCACCAGACAGTGCATTTTCAATGTAGCTAATATAAAGTCATCCATGAGGATACTTTGCAATGTTTTTACTGATAGTAAGGTACCCCACCTCTACACTTTTTTAAAATTACGTTGTAAACTCAACTCAACTCGACTTTATTTGTAAAGCACTTAAAACAACCACAGCTGAACAAAGTGCTGTACATAAATAGACAAAACAACACAGACATAAAAAAAACAATCAAAAAACTATTAAAACAATGGATAAAATAAAAACAGAATTAAAAGGTAAAATATAGTTTCAATGTTTTAAAAAACTAATTTAAAAACATAGAAACATATAACTAAAAACAAACCATTAAACACTAAAACAGGAGCCGAGTCTCATGCAGGGTTAAAAGCCAATGAATAAAAATGGGTTTTAAGACGAGTTTTAAAGTCTTATGCTGCATTCCAGTTGTACTCTGAAGTCAGAATTTCTGACCTCCGAGTCGAAAATTCATCTGGAACGTACCCTGAAGTTGGATTTCCAACTCGGAATGTCGGACGATCCTCTCTAACCCCGACTTGATGATAACGTCATAATCCAAGATGGCAGCGCAGTGCATCATCAGTAAAGAGTAACAGTGAAAGCTCTCATAATGTATTATTTATTAGCACTTCTGTTTTCTTTTTGTGAAATTAAATAAGTGTTATATGTTGTACTGCTCAACGTCCAACTGTTAACACGGTGCTACGGTGTATGTAAGAGTAAAATACTATGTTATGCGTTGTTTAGAACTGGTATAGCTAACAACAACTAACAACAGCTGGCATTTGTAAACAACAGCTAACAACGGCTAATTGTAGGCGTCCATCTTGGTTTTCCGACTTGTTTACTGGAACTCTGTCAACTCAGGTGTAACGTCATTCCCAGCCCCAACATCCGACTTCCAATGTAACTGGAACGCAGCATTAGTATTGGCCATGATAAACATTAGTTGTTGTTTTTAAAAAAACAAAAAACTTCAAAAGCAATTATTGGACCTTTCTTTGCAGGATTTGGATTGTCCAAAATATAAACCTGTTCCTGTTGAAGTACCTGTACATGTACAGTTACATGCCTTTAGCTGAAATCTTCAACACTTGACGGGTGACGCAGATTTTCATTTAGGGAGACTAAATGCAGGGATGTCTTATCAGGTATTTCAGTTGCTCTTCCTCTGTATCAAGGCTGGCCAAACACTAAATTTTTTGGGTCTTATTCAGTTTTAGATCATGGTTAACTAATTACAGTTTTTTAATGTCTGATCATGTCAGATACTGATAATAAGGTGGCAGATTGGCCGATATCAAAATTACGACAGTCAGTGACTCAGTGTTTATTAAAAAATTCTTATCTCGGATTTGCAGAATTGGAAAACTCTATATATATATTTTAGGAAAGAGCTGCCTTGTGAGTGCTGATGCCATTATGAAGCTGAGTACTTGCCATTAATTGGCCAAATCAGTCTTCTCTAGAGACCACACAGTCATGAGGACAGTTTTGCTGGGTTTTAACATTACGGTCCTCTGAACACGTACACTGAAAGATTCCGTAAGACTTCGAGACCACACACTATACACTTGTGGTAACCATTTCACAATGGTGAATCCACAGGCATGAGATCTCACACAAACTCTTGGATCAAACGTGACTTCAGAAGATAAATGGGCTTGGGGAGTGATTTATCTCAAAAACACGCAAGGAAGAGTACAGGTGAGATGCGGACAGAGACCGAGGCAGTGTATTTTCACTCTGTCTGACCTGAAATCTCCACTATTTATCATGATTGACATTTATGATCTCTGGTTGTGGAGGCTCTGACTCCTCTGACAGTCAGGGGCAGTAGAGCAGTAGTGTTGACAACACAAACTTGTGTAATATTTGGACAAATGATCAGTAAAGACAAGCCTTGAATAAGGCCGTAACCTCCTGATCACTGGGGTGGCAAAAAAGGGCCCTACGCCGAGCCTAAACTGTCAAATGTGAGGCCAGCATGAGGACACGATGAGATGCTGTTTCTTTTCTGGTCGTACAGGTGAGTGATGCTGAGAAAACAAACAGACTTTGAAGCAGGAACTGTTCCTAAAAGAGGATTCTTGCTTCTGATGCTCACTTCCTTGGAAAGTCTCCATTACTTTTGCTTTCAGTGAGTTTGAACAAATCTCTCTGTTTCAACAACATGTTTTACTTTTAGAATAAGACTCTACTTTTCCCACCTCTGCGGGGGGACAATAAGGAAGAGGCAGAGACACATGCTTGTATTTCTGCTAACTGAGTGTCTTTTCTTCTCACATTTCCAGTGTCTGCAATGTGGTTGGCTTTGAATTGCAACATCTCTTTGTGGCGTCTGAGGCTTCCCACAATATATCATTAGAGACAAGCAACAAACAGAACTGATTTTGCCACTGCGTGTAACTATGGCTGATGGCTTCATAACATCACACTTCCCAGCCCTGCTATAGATCACTGTAACAATTTTGTGGAAATTTGTGCTTCAGAGAAATAGAGAAAATGAGAGAAAGAGGAATAAGAGTAAATGAAAGCTTTCCCTGATACAGTTAGTAGAATAACTTTGTCTATTCTTGTTGTTTCCGGATTTCTCTGTATTGCTGACTCCTCAGTCCACAGTGTCCCTGAGGTTTGTCTGCAGAATCAGTGCTGACCTTTCACTTTAACTGTTGTCCACTGAATGTTTCAGCTTCCATTTAAGTGAAACATGAAAAATTAACCAGCAGTTTTGCCTCCTGGGCACCCTTAAAAAAATCTGAGTCTCATTGGACAGTGTCTAAAACCAACACCTGTGTGCTTGTGTA